CTCCAGGGATTATTTTCGTCATTCTTGTCCAGCTCGCTTGCACCTTTGCATTTAATTGCATTATAATCATAACCTTAAATTGCAAGCTTCACCCTTGTTGGTGTTAGACTGGTGGCGGCTGATAAAACCCGTTTGCTCTACTGATGTCTAACCCCTGGTTAGCTCAATTGGTAGAGCGCTCCACCTGTAATGGAGAGGTCCCGGGTTCGATACCCGGACCAGGCGGATTTTTTCGGTCGCGCACCAGTCCCCTAGCTGTGTTTGGAGATTTGTGTTTGTCCTTTGTCCCTCTTGTTCCCCTTTTCCTGGGATTATTTTCGTCATTCTTGTCCAGCTCGCTTGCACCTTTGCATTTAATTGCATTATAATCATAACCTTAAATTGCAAGCTTCACCCTTGTTGGTGTTAGACTGGTGGCGGCTGATAAAACCCGTTTGCTCTACTGATGTCTAACCCCTGGTTAGCTCAATTGGTAGAGCGCTCCACCTGTAATGGAGAGGTCCCGGGTTCGATACCCGGACCAGGCGGATTTTTTCGGTCGCGCACCAGTCCCCTAGCTGTGTTTGGAGATTTGTGTTTGTCCTTTGTCCCTCTTGTTCCCCTTCTCCAGGGATTATTTTCGTCATTCTTGTCCAGCTCGCTTGCACCTTTGCATTTAATTGCATTATAATCATAACCTTAAATTGCAAGCTTCACCCTTGTTGGTGTTAGACTGGTGGCGGCTGATAAAACCCGTTTGCTCTACTGATGTCTAACCCCTGGTTAGCTCAATTGGTAGAGCGCTCCACCTGTAATGGAGAGGTCCCGGGTTCGATACCCGGACCAGGCGGATTTTTTCGGTCGCGCACCAGTCCCCTAGCTGTGTTTGGAGATTTGTGTTTGTCCTTTGTCCCTCTTGTTCCCCTTTTCCTGGGATTATTTTCGTCATTCTTGTCCAGCTCGCTTGCACCTTTGCATTTAATTGCATTATAATCATAACCTTAAATTGCAAGCTTCACCCTTGTTGGTGTTAGACTGGTGGCGGCTGATAAAACCCGTTTGCTCTACTGATGTCTAACCCCTGGTTAGCTCAATTGGTAGAGCGCTCCACCTGTAATGGAGAGGTCCCGGGTTCGATACCCGGACCAGGCGGATTTTTTCGGTCGCGCACCAGTCCCCTAGCTGTGTTTGGAGATTTGTGTTTGTCCTTTGTCCCTCTTGTTCCCCTTCTCCAGGGATTATTTTCGTCATTCTTGTCCAGCTCGCTTGCACCTTTGCATTTAATTGCATTATAATCACTTCCCGTCTGTATACAAATACATTTTATAGGAAGTTCGTTACGAAGGGCAGAACAAACTTATGGCCGTATAAAAGTATCGCAACCGGCGGGGTAGATTCGCTGAGCTCAGTATTTTGCGTGTACTGACGACGATTTTTGTCGACTTTTATAACAGTAGCTGACTTTGCACCGCCAAGCGAAGGGCTCAATCGCGTTGCATCGCTTCGAACAGCAGCGCTGATGTGTACAATCACCCGCTTTTTCTTCAACGACCTTGTAAAGACTTCTTCAATACCGGCGTCAAATAAAAGCGATCGTGCTCGCCATCGTCTGCCTCCAGTTTATTCGGAGACCGTCTGGCACAGGGGAGGAAGCGGAAGTTGCGTAGAAGCAGGTTTGGAGCCGCGGTTTTTTTTGCCGTTCAGTAGGCGCTCCGATGACTCCGACTCGAGGCACTCGGTTCGGAGGCAAGGGAGGCGCTACTGAACGCGCCCAATGCTCTCCTTGGCTCTTGCGCCCCCTCCCTCCATGCTTTCTTCGGACGACACAGACAGACAAAAGATCACGGCAAGCGCGGGAAGTTTGTGACCCGGCGTTGTAGAAGTCCATCTTTTGTTTTTCCACGGATACGGCAGTCTGAGACTCTGTTGCAAAAGTGTACTTCTTCATCCCTATGGGCCTTCAGGGCCTTCTCGGCGCTGAAATTTATTTTATCGGACCAGAGGTCTCTCCTTTCACCGAGCACACTTGATGACGTGCTGCTTCTGAGATCATGCTCGGTGCCTTATTGATCATGCTCTCATTCTCAAGGAAATGAACATGATCTCAGAAGCAATGTCGTTTCCGCGGATTCCTCTAGAGCGCCTGAATTATCTATTTTTGTGTAAAAATAAACGTTACGTTCCTTTTAATTTTTGCTGATTTTTTTTTTTTTTTTTTTTTATAGAAAGAAACCGTTACGAACCGTTACGGAGCATTATTTTTTCGTTCCGGAGCGAAAACGGAACGGAACTTTTTTGTAGGGAACGAAAATGAAAACGGAACGAAAAACATTTCGTTCCAACACCCTGGGTGTGGGTGTCAATGACACAATTTATCGACAGAACACTACTGACAATCTCCACTGGTTGATGTACGTCTTCCCTCAGGGAAAAGAGATTTTTGTCTCGAGTGTACAAACCTTATGTTGCTCCCACAGCAGACATTAGCATGAATCTTCATAGGATTCAGATAGAAGAATTGTACAATAATTTTTTTCACCTTGGCAGCCTAGTCCTTGAAGACAAACTGGACGCTCATGAAGCACGAAAGTTGTTTTCAGGCTCGTTCGATTCACCCATACCTCTTGCATTGGTGCCGAAAAGTGCAGGGCTGTACTTTTGGTACGTGTATTGAGATAAAACCTGAAGTACACCAGCCAACGTTAACACTGCCCTACCCTTTCCTGCGCTGGTGCAGAAAATGCCGGTAAAGTTGACATGTGCCAGTTCACTATTAATGGTGTCAACCAAGCTCGACCGCTAGCTCTATCATACAAATAGGAAAACATGCACAATGCGACGAAAGTCACAGAAAATCTACTTTCTAAATCAAAACAACAAGTATTGTGGGGCAATAAAGGACCCACCTTTTAGGTGAGACTAGCTGAAGGTGAAGCAGGAGATCAGCTACTTCTCCCAGATTGTTTCATGGTCCCTCGAATCATTCAATAAAAAACTGGCAACATTTATTTTAGGCATAGTTGATGTTATTACTGCAATAATCAAGATGCACTTAATGTCCTGTCTGCATTTTATGCACACGGGAGCTCTGTACCATTCAATACGTCAACTTTCTTGCAGTAGAACTCAAAATGGTTGATACAAGAACGTCGAGAACTGCCGACGAAGGAATTAACCTTGGCAGCACATCCTTATTCACACCTCTTGGAATAAAGCATTTCTCACGCCAAATACTGGAGGTCAGCTGTGGCCACAGATTGAAGAGCAAGTGTGGCTGGGACTGCTGTCTTGACCAATTGGACAAGAGTCCAGGCCAAATGCAGCACTCATGCCCAATGTACGTCCCATTATGTCCTCTAGTAGACAATCATATTGTGTAAAGCTTTTGACTGTGGCTAGAAAAAAACAACAACTTTGGAGTCGAACAAAAAGACAAGGGAAGGAGACACCTCAATCACTGATAAGTTGTTTATTTCCATTGCTGCTCGTATACCCACGATGCTGTCGCCAATGCCCTTCTTCAAGGAAGCTCCCTTTGTTAAAGGGGCACTGACAGCCCAAAAGTAACATTTTTTTTTGTTGCCTTAAACGATGCAAACTATAGTCATGAATGCGCCAAAAATACAACAATGCAAAAAAAAAAAAAAAAACTTTACGCGAGCGCACGCCTTTGTTTTTTGCGCTTTTCTTTCCCGCTCCTCACCTCCTCGCTTGTTTTGATTTAGGACGTCAAATATCATGAAATTTAGAAGCTTTGTAAGTGACATTTCTATAACATTTAATAACGGCATTCGTAAAACATGTTTTTTAACGCAACTGCAAACACACTACGGCCTCTTATACAATCTTGTGCGCAACAAAGACGAGGACAAAAGCAGAGAAGAGTCCTCGTCTTTGATGCGCACAAGATTGTATAAGATGTCAAACCAACTCGCCCAAACAACCGCACTACGGCCCTTCTTTTTGAAATACCGAAAATCGGAGTCCGGCGTGGTGTCGCCTCCTGGCTTTTTTATCCTTCCTCAAAAAACATGGTGTCGCTCAATGCATGCAGCAGAGGATGATTGGTGAGTCGGGGAGACGGACCAAGTGGTCATTTTAGATGCCCGGTGACCTCTCAGATTTCGTAAAGAAAATCGTCAAATGGTTGAAACTGTGTATCGTAGTTTCAGTAGCGACTCCGCAGGGGCAGCCTTTCATGCATAATTGGCGCGACGCAGCCACTCACGTCGCTCACAAAAGTTCACTGCGCGTTCTCTTTGACCTCACACCGTTTGAAAGAATTTGAGATCACTGAAAGGGTCCTAAAAGAACTACAAACTTGAAAGTCAAGTGTCGTCTGCTCGCAGCGAGATAGGCGTGACGCACGGAGGAAACTGGTTGCTCGCGATACGCCGGCAAACACGACACTTCGGAGGAGTCAGAGAAACTACTCGCAGGACGGCTCAATATTTGACATCACTGTACTGGCGCGGGTCACGCGGGAACTTCTAATTCGGCATTTGTTTGTTTACTTCACAAATATTAAATTCCCAAGTTTCGAATTTTGAGGGTAATGTCCAGGCATCGTTTTCAATTGTTTCGGATAGAAATAAAGAAAAAAGATTTTGACTTGTTCATGTTTTTTCAATGAAGCAAAGAATGGACTCATAAAAGCTGTACCCTGTTGTCGTTTTGTATGTGTGTTTTTTGTGAGAGATGGCTATGCAGCTTATGTGAAAGACATCTGCTGTTCTAAAGGTCATAGCTTTTAAGAGTCTATTCACTGCATCGTTAACGAAGGAAGTGTCCTCAAAGAAGGCCAGTGGCGACAGCATTGTGGGGACATAAGGAGAAAGAAAAATAAGCGAGTTAGCCGAGTTTGAGGTGTTTCCCTCTTGTGTCTTTCTGTTTGATTCCAAAATAGTTTTTGTTTTCTCACCACAGTCTCTGGTTTTACGCAACAAGATTACCTACCTTCAGCTAGCCTGCACACTCACTGTCTCTCCGGTAGGTGACATAGACATAGTAGCACTACGGCCTTGTTACATAGGAAGTGTTGTCTTTATGTCGTCAGGACCGCCGAACCGCGTCTTTTGGCGAACGGAAGGAGCAGTACCGCCCGTCGGGAAGCAGCACTATGCTTGTTTCTGGGGCTCGAGCCAGCAGCTGGCTGTGCTTCTCCGTCAGCGTTCGCGTGGGGTCGTCGTCGAAGCCGTGCACGACGACGCCGCAGAACGGAAACCCCTCCTTCGGCAGGTTTTGCCTGAAAACGAAGGTGCACCAATCAACGATTTTGCTTCACATGAGATGTCAGAAACTGATTTAAGCTGCAGGGGCAAGAAGTTCAAACGTTCGACTAGAAGACGCCTGTGCACAGTGACCCTGGAAGTGTATTTTACGTGGGGGGCTAGCGGTCGAGATAAAGGGGGGGGGAAGAAAATTAAAATAGAAAAAAAAGAAAACCATTACCAAGATATTACTATTTATAGCATGCGTCCATACATTCAATAAGATGGTGACACAATCTGATCAATACTAGTGGCTATATATGGTGGCGTCGATCTACGGTGTCGACGTTAAGCGCACTGGAAAATCGGGTGCCCGCATATATAAAGCTTAGATTTTAAACGAAGGTGTATTTTAATCGTGCATGCATCCCCGTAAAATTTCTCGGCGCAGCTCCGTTCCTGTGAAAAGTTATAACAACACATTCTTCAAAATTCCTAAAAAGGTTTGCCAAAGGTTTGCCACCGGTGGATGCGGTTGTCCTTCGGTGGTAAACCTTCACTGGCAATGCCCCTTTTTATTTCAGCATGTTTATTTTTATGGTCGTCTTTGAAAACTTTCAGCCTTTGCACTCTGGTGAAGAAGGAAGACAAGCGAAGCTGTACTATGGTAGGACGACCTCAAGGACGACTTTTTTTACGACCCCAAAAACGACGCCTAGAGGACGATGTCTAGGACGACCTCAAGGACGACGTTTAAAACAACCTCAGGGACGACCTCGAGGACAACGTCTAGGACGACCTCTAGGATGACCTCGAGGACAACCTCTCCGACAACATCAAGGATGACCTCGAGGAGGACTTCTAAGAGAACATCTAGGACGACGCCCAGAAAAATTCAGCCTTTCCACTCTGGTGAAAACCAGGGTGGAAAGGCTGGAAAGGTTGCCGCCATCTATGAGTGAGGCCGGTGGTTGTCGCGGTCGCTCATAGATGGCGGTAGCTGTCCAGAGTTTTGTGTTGACATATCTTTGTGGGGGACATGATCCTGGGAAAACTAGCCCTTAACAGTTCCGCTGTAAAAAAGGGTAACAGTCTGGACGCATAATAGGGTGCCCGCCTGAACGTAGCAGGCTGGCTCGCCAAGAACCGAATGGTGTTTCGAAAACTAGATGCAGAAATACAGGTGAGAATGCTGCGATTCGTTGATGTCTCCAACGGCCACCGTGATAGTGGCACTTCAACTCCTCTTGTCTTGGGAGCTGGGATACTTCATTCCTTCAACTTGCTACATCTGAAGGCAGTGCCTCGTTCAAGAGGGGCTTTCGTCTCACGCAGACCATCTCCACGCCTCACGCTTCGGCTCTCCCCACGGAAGCAATTACCTGATCCTTGCGATTGCTCAGACTGCCAAAACAACAAAAACAGCGAAAGCGCGGCTGCAAGAAAAAAAAAGCTAGAAGAAATCCTTGTGTTTTTTGGGAAATGTCCCTGCTCAAAATAGAAGCAAAACGAAGAAGCCAGCTGGCTGGGTGGACAGAAACAGCTGGCTGCGTGTTCCCCCGCATGGCCGAACTGTGAGTGCCGTATCATTTTGTCGAAACTCGTTTCATAGAATTACCCAGTGGACCAAGATGGCCCAGTAGACCAAGATGGCGGTATCAAGAAGGTGATTATTGGAACGGTCCATAATACCATAAGTAACAGAACCTTTCTTTATGGGACAAGACAGCAATACAAAACAATGCTTGTTTTATCACGAGATACAAAACCTTTTTTCCTGTTGTATGGCACATTTTTGCAAAGCGAACAATGAGACTTTTTAATGCGAAAGCATTAACTGGGTCCCATGGAGCGAGCCGACGTTATCAGTTTGAAGCGCGAAAATGGCACCTAGTTTCCCTGATCCCAAAAATCCCATTGGCTGGCGCGCTGACGAGGCTCCCATTGGCCGCTGTGCGCGTCAGTTTCATTGACTGCCGCCAGATAGTGCTGCATGTCCGTGCCGCCAGTGCCGATAAAACTAACCGCTGCAACCCCATGCCACTACGGGCCCCGCGCCGGTTAAAACGGACACATTGGTGCGCGCTCGAAGGCTTCTGCTCGTCTCGTCGCCTCTAACATCCACGTCGTCGGCGGTGCTTCTGCTGGTCTCGACGCCGACGAACACGGCGCCGCCTCTAGCTCTACATCGTCGGACATTCATGCATTCGTATTCACAACTCATAACAAGTGCTTAGGTTTCTTCCAACCTTTGTCGGATCAATACAGCGTAGAACCATAAAATTTTGTCAATAAAAACCTAATGCTTCACGCGTGGAACGGATACTCTGTACGCGGGTGAAGTTTGAGCGTAACATCAACTCCTTATTTTTGAATGTCCGAGTCACACAGAATTTAGAAAGCTGTTTCATGCTTTCTACCGTGGATTTCTCCCGGTATATGCAACCGAGCTCGGTGTCCTAGATCTAATTGCTCAGAAAGCCTGTGCCACCTGAAATTCCCAAAGCCAGAGCAGAAAACAGTTGCGCTACACTAATTCTGCATAGTTTGAGAATGGCTAGCACTCCAACAGACACTTCTGAAAAAGTATTTCCTCCAGTGTCACAAATGGGGGACGCACTGTACACCTTAATGTATATATCGTAAAATAACAGGCAAGCGCCCACTCAAAATTGAGATAACTGCGAAAAAATGGGGGATGGGTGCTTACCCGGTCATCAATTTTACATATCAATGTAGTACTGTGCATATTTTCTCAGATCTTACGCATTTGGGAATGGGCACTTGGTGTGGAATGGGCGGATGCGCGGTATTCTAGGGTACTTCCCGATTCACAAGGAGAAACCACAAATGTGTTTTAATTTACCACTCACAAAAAACATGCTTCCTCTGCAAACCAAGTGTCCTCTGGGATCAAGTTCATAAGTTTCAGCTTTGAAACAGCCACCATGTCATGTGCAACACGTTTAAAGCTAATTGGCAAGTGGAATAGTTTTTTTAAAAGGGTCTGTAGAGTCAGCTGGAGATTCAAACAAAAAGCACAAACCCACCATTATTTTTGTGTTTGTGCAAATGACAAATAATGCCAAACGTATGATAGGTTTCCTAAATCTACACTTCCTGTCAGTTTCCTAATCTCTTCAACAACTTCTCTACAAATCGCTCGCTTGTTCCAAGCTGGAATAAGCTGGTCGTAGATATGGGTTGTTTCCCGGACTTCGACGGGCACCTTGGCGTGTCTGTAGTCGGGGGCCGGGGGACCGTGGCACACTGCTGGTTGCTGGAGGGCTCGTGGTTATTGCACTCACTGAGATGGTTTACAATTTCAGTGAGTGCAATAATCGTTACCCAGACTAGGCTGAGACAACAGTTGTTAGCAAAGAAAAATATCCATTCAAGAGGGTTATCAAGAAGACAATTAGGATTACGAGCGCCGGAAATTGTATTAGTAGTCCTTCTTTGACTTAGGTTGAGGAGACACAGACGTTCTTGTCTTTCTAGTCTATTTTCTTTGTCCAGTGGGATGATTTCTTTATTTTCGTTTATCACGAAATTGTACCAAACCGTTGTTTCGGAACTAAGGTTTGTTTTGGACGATGAGACACCGCCATTTTTGAAGGTCTAGCGTTGATGAATTCACCGGACACTTAAGACTGCAGTCGTGCACTTGTCTTTTTGTTTGAGACCTTCAAATGTAATGCCTGCCGATGACCGGGGGTTGTGCTTGTGATATGTGAAGAGAAGAAGGAAGACTGTGTCAAATTAAATTATTGTTGTGCTGGTTCTGAGACAATGTTGTTCTTGTCCTTTTTAGCTCCTCGTCTCTGAGTTTTTCTACTATAATAAATTTGGCAAATCATTGAAATGATAGATTTCCTAAAATGAAAGTTGCTGCAAAAAAGTGAAACTGAGAAAAACCTATGTATTGTCTTGACAAATGCCCCACCCCTAAAAGATAACCTACCCTAATTTTTGGCATGATTCGCCATTTATTTTTTCGGAAACACCGAGATGCTTTACTTTTAGTAATTGTGGAACCCTGACCAATGGTAACCTCAGCAGAGATAAGTCACTTAGCCGCGGCGGGAGATAAGCAAACATTGTGGGAAGGACAGTCGTCTTTGGTTCATCCCTGCGATCACAAGCCTTTACAGATCACAAAATTGAGAACGACCACTTTTTCAACTTTTTTTTATCGCATACCGAAAGTTAGTCAAAGCCATATTTTCACCCGATTTGCCTTCAAATTTAGGCGGGCTATCTCTCTGGATATTACAGTATTTGAAGTTTCCACACCACTACACTTGATTTCACCGGTGGCGGTGGTAGCAACTAAAAGGAGCCTTCCACGCCCACCCGGCCTCCTGCATGCCTTTGCTGAGTTTCGAGCTTTGAACGCTTTCTTTGAGTGTCATTTTGTTGTCGGCGTGTGGACACTGTGAAACGAGCGAGGAATTGGATATGCTTGCAATACACGAACCAGCGTCAGATATTGGGGTGGGGCAAGAATCGTCAAGAAACAAAGCAAGCAAGCCCACGTGACTTTCTATAAACGAATGTCAATTTTAGTTTCAGTTTCCCATTCAATTAGGAGGGGCTTTCCGATTCTCGTCCATGTGCACAGTCTTTTCCATATGAAAGCTGGACTTCTATGGTGTTCTTGCCAAAAATAGTGTTTACTCACAAACAAGGATATTTAATGCATTGAAACTGCAAAGAAATGCCATGGAGCCCAAGGCAAAGAAACGTCCCTCGGTTGTGACAATGCCATGGAGCCCAATGCAGAATACGAAACCTGGATTGAATTGTGATGCCTAAGCTAAATGAATGGACGGAGGCCAACGGTTGTACCCTATATAACGGGCAGTAGCTTGCGCCACCTAGCCTAGAAACTGAAAACCAAAAGTAAGATTCCTCCCTTCGCCCTTCTAAGCCAATTTGGTTCCCCCTCTGCAAGTTTGCAACTATCACCACACAGTGTGGGATACCGGCAGGATGACCTTTGAGGGATCGGGCAAAGAAACTAAAAAACATCACCCAATTGCCTCTTCCCCCCAGGCAAGGGAGTCCCAATTTTCCTCTGTCCCGCCTGTCCCCAGCTGTGCTAGTTAGTTGTACGCCATTCAATTCCCCCTAGATAATTTCCACCAGTCTTCCAATCACCTATTTGTTATTAAAATGCACCTATCCATTCTTCCATTCTTGTCTGCAAACACCAGCGCTCTGGCTAAATCTGTTTCCCCCTCCGGGAGTGCGGGAGAAAGCCTTGTGCACATCAAGGACGACTAACTTGCAACTGGGTTGCTACGGTTGCCAGATAAAAACAGAAACTTCCAAAAGAACGACCCATTCACAGATAAACGCTTTGGCGCAGTTTCGTGCCATTTTTCCCCTTGAGAGCAGCAAGAAGCAGGACAGTGAGAATTTATCAAAATGGCGCAAATGGTGCAGCTGAACCACCCTGTGTTTACTTCCTACTTAACTAATTACCACCGCACTGCCAGCATAATATCCATGAAATCAAGTTTGAACCTGTTCTCTCTTGCACCAGGTCAGGAGCAATCTCATTTGTGTTTGTCTAGTAAAACCTCTTTTGGGTGACAAGCCACTGCAGCACCTTCTTTCTATGTATCGTAACATTGCAATCACCAACACAAAATGTGCATACACCCTTGAAAAATATGTTTCCCAGTTTCTTCATACACCAAACCACACACATATTTATGAATTCGCTTTCTAACATCTGCGGTAAAAAAAAAAAATTGTTAAAAGATGCACAGTGCAAAAAAGGATGAGAAGCAAAGAGAGACGTAAGCATCCTTTTACATTGTATGTCTTCTAACAGTATCTATTACTAGCTTGCCCGAGCCTCCATTTTAAAAACTACCTTAACAATCGGTATCAATATTTTAGCATTTTTTAAGAAGCATGCATATTTGCATTTCTAGGATTTGTTATTTTTTTAGTTTGACCATTATACTTTCTAACAGGCTTAAGCTGAGCTTAATGGTTCATACTTCACATATTACCAGCTGAACTAGAATAAACATATGCACAAAGACATTATACTTTGTATCCAACTCCCCCATAATGCCATCGGGCCCTAAAGAAACTAATATAAATGAATACCAGACAGCGCAATCCCCTTATAACGATAATGAGAAATCCCGAAAATGCAATCGTTATAAGCGATTATCGTTGTATCTGGACTGGATACACAACGCAAAAAGGCATGGTCCTCTAGAAACTGACGGTTATAAGTGGTACATCGTTGTATGTGGTATCATTATATGTGTGTTGCACTGCAGTATATCCAGCCAGCTTTAGAAACAGATCTGTGAAAGGTTGCGTAACAAAAATGAACTCGGTACTCGCAATACGAGAGACAATCCTATAGCCAGTGATAGGCAAAGAACTGCCTACGGCACGCGTTTGTTGCTTTCTGCCAGGTGTTGGCTGTGCATGCAACAAAGTGTCACCAAAAGAAGAAAGCTTGTGCTCAGGTATAGTTAAATGACCCTCCCCCTCAATAGTTAACATGGACCTTCTCGAACAGCTACCGTCTTGCAAACCCAGCTCCGTGATTAGCCAAGGGACATTTTAAAAAGAACACTAAAGAATATAGTGATGCTCAAAATAGGACAACCTCAAGCCAGAGACAAACATAGCCAGCACCATGCAGCTTATTCAATGTATCACTTCCAAACGGTACTTCTGCAGGTCCATATTTTGCAAAGATGGGCACCACAAAACTAACCTGCATATAGTATGACCTTTCCATATTAACCCCCAGGTTTTAGACAATGAACTCCCCAAAAAACATTTTTTTTTTACTGCCTGACTACGAAATGAAATATGAAATTTATGTCCCCATATACATCCCCCAAAAAAACAAGATAATTAGCAAAATATTTAGGTCAGAAGACTTATTTTGAGTTAGGACCGATTTCGAAACATGATTTTATTTCTAGAATTCAACCTCGAAAAAGAAGCAGCTTTCAGAACTGCTCAAATAAGTCTCAAAAGGCAAATACAGTCTAAGCTCGTTATAACAGACCTTGATTTTGACCAAGATTTCGGTCTGTTGTAAGACAAGTATGTTGTATGCAGATACGAAGTTGAGTCAATAGTATGGAGAGAAAAACCAACCGAACTTCACAAATCAGTATGTTATATCCAAATGTCTGTTGTAACAAGGTCTGTTGTAACGAGCAGAGACTGTATTAAGCTAATGCTTTTTTTAGGGGGGCATGAATACATACCGAAGCACATCAAGAAGTTGCTGAACGCATGTGCGCGAGAAGAAGCCCGACCACTGTCCGACGTACAGCTGTCCCATCTCCTCGCTGGGTTCCGGGCAACTGTAGGAGCTGACAAACTCCTCAGCATCCTCGCTGGATGGCCTGTGAGGTCCCCAAATTCCATTACGAGCCCAAACAAAGTGACGCAAGGCTGTGTGTAGTAGGCGCAGCCATAGAGTAGTAGACCATCCAAACCAGTCAGTTCTGACATAAAATAGAGTGTCAAAACTACTCGGGCAAACCATAGAGCAGTAACGCAATGAAAGTTATTTTGGCACACATTCATAGGTAGTGCAGGCGCTTCCACTCCCACAGCTGATGTGCTCTAAAAACCAAAGGGCTGTTACTGCTGCCCTCAGTTCCCTAAGACAGATAGCAAGTCTACCTAACACGGTTCTTCGCATATGAGGGAGGGAGTGATCGTGTGTTCGACGAACGCAGCAAAGCTCCGCCCCTGCAGCTGTTCTTTGCTCTTCGACGGTGGTAGCAATGGAGAGCAGATGGCATCTAGGCCGAAATTTGCTCATTTGTTGGAGCACGCTGACACTTGTTTGTCAACAAAAAAACAATGTTCCCTTCTAAGTATTTTGTCTCCCCTTTCTCAAAGACAAAGTCCACGTTCGTAAAGAACCAGTGGAATTCCAAAAGCTGTAAAAAAAAGGCAAGACAGCCATTGCTACTACTAGCAGATGATGCTGGCATTTGGCGTCCAGACGTTTACCTTGATGCCACTGGTTCTTTTGTGCAAGGAGCAGATGAGGCTCTTGCTCGCTCCCACTAGACGGATAGAGTCAGTAGAGGCAAAGGAAGCTAGCTTTTGAGTATATACTTACTATCCTTGCAATCGAAGCTCGGCGCACTGGCATCACTGTACCCGCTGTGCAAGAGCAGACAAACTTGCTCATTGCATATGGACCTTTTGCCGAATCACCCAAGGACAAGGGGGAAGGCTGGGAACGTGGGTATTCATTCTGCGTGTGCTTGCCTTATCAGTATAAAACATTTGAAGTAAATAATCGAAATAAGGCATTGACTAATGCATGTGCAAAGTGCAATTTGCTTTTGAAAAGCTTCTGCAGATGCCAGCATATGCAGCATGTGTCACTATCACTATACTTTCGGCATGCTCCCTGTGGCTTGGGTAATTTAGGAAAAGGTCCCTAGTATATCTTAAGATGGAGCAGTCAACTACGGTATGTCTACCCAAACATAGGGTAAGTTTCTAACAAATAGACTTGCGCACCAGCCTCCATGTTAGAAACATGTGAAGTTTTTTTTTTTTCCACACTTATAAAAGAAGTTTAGTGACTATTCAGACAACACCAGTAATGCTTAGACACGGTTAGAGATGTGCACAAAAAGAAAAGGACTGAGAAGAAAAGAAGGAGTGAGAAGAAAAAGCCTGGTCGTGTACATCATCCTTAGAAGAAACCAAGATAACAGGCAAATATCATGACAAACACACCTGGAAAATCGTAGCAGCATTTAACATCCATAGTTCGGGCGATCGATGCGTCAGAAAGCCGTCTGTGTCTTTAACAAAGAAGGAAATGGCTTTTTTAAAATTCTTTTCACCTGGCTGAATCTGAGTGCCCCCATCGAGCTCGTGTGCCCGTTCCTGTATGGTTTCCGCTGCCAGTTGTACTTCTTTCTTTCCTTCTTTCTTAATTAATTCTAATACATGTGAGTTGAAAGAGTGTGCTTGTCTGTTGGTTACGTGTCTCTCTTCTCAGTCCTTGTCTTTTGGTTGCATCTTTATCCATGTGGGGACACTACCTGGGAATGTCAACTTTCAAACCACTCACTCAATCGGTGTATGTTTGCAGGTGGTGTTTGTAGCCATATAGAAGGAGGGCATGCGAAATTTCAGCCCTGCGAACCGATTTTATGAGGTACTGTACCCCCAGAACGAAGTAAAGCATGCAATCTGCTCAATGAATCTATAGTTGAGAAATGGTGTGGATAACCAGATATTCTTCTGGTGGAATGCATACTGGAACACCTGTTGCCAGTTACTATAAAAATAAATTTCAGAAAATATAAATTTTTTAAGTAAAAAAAAAGTTATATATATATATATTTTTTTTTTCCTTAAGTAGTGTCTTTTCTTAATCAATAGCAACACACCCAACTGACCACCCTACTACAGTAGTGTTTAGACGTGAAAAGAGGGGCCTTCACTGCTGCTATAAACTTGGCACTTGCCAGCTTCCAACTTTCCTAAACAGAGCTTAACTTTTAACTTCTGCATTTCTGTGTTAGAAATTAAACAGAGTTTAATTTCTAACACAATGGAAGAGACTAGGTGGGGTAGGCAATGAAGATGAGTTCATCAAAATGCATTTGAATTCATACACACAGTAGAAAAAAAAGAAGGGAAAACATGTTGGAAAGATGAACGGCTGCGATCCTGTATTTTCATGGAATTTCACATTACTTGAAGGCATGTGCTAAGCAGTTTGGAGTGGAAACTGTTTCCAGTTCTGATTTCAGGCTGAGTAGACTATGTGGAGGACTTAAAAGAAAGTGAAAAAAACCTGGACGAGGAAGAGACACATACAACATGGACTGGCGCTAACTTTCAACTAATTTGATTGAGGCAAATCCCAATGAACCCCACTAGCCCAATTCAAAGTTTTAATTGTCTAGACTAACTTTTTTTGAAACGGGAGTGCATGAGTGTAGGAAAGTTCACCGAGAAAAATTGATCCCTTGCAAGAATAGTGTAGTGTACGAAATTCCGATGGCATATGGTTTTGCATTAGAAGGCCAAACTTTGAGGTGTATTAATGATAGATTGACAGAACACAGGAGAAATGTAAGGATTAATGCAACCAATTCGGAAATAGCAAAGCAGCAGATAAATGATTGTAATAACTGCACTGCTTTGCGGTCAGGAACGGGAATAATACACAGAGAAGTGAATGACAGTAAAAGACTAGTAAGGGAAATCGTTTGAATAAAATCGATGGCAACTGTACCAGTCAGCCTTCGTTGCAGCTGGGGTACAATGCCAACGCATTTTTGAGACTGTAAACAATTGTGTATGTCTGTGTGTGCGTGTTCTTTTTTCAATTTTTTTGAAGAGGAAGCGCAACAGCGTTTTGTTAATGTAAATCCAGAGTGTTCTTGTTTTTTAAGTTGGTGTTTCAAATTGGTATAGTCAGAGGTTTCTTTCCAGTTCTACTATTTTTTTTTTTAGGGCGTTGGTGTTCGTATTTATGGTTGGGTCAATGTTGTTAGCAGGTGTAATGTCAAATGTTCCACAAAACAAACTTTTTTTATAAAAGTGGTGGGTTTGTTTAAGTTGGAAAAGTTTGTCCTGGCTGTTATCCTTTAGAAAGGGCATCCCTTTGTCCTGTTCTGGTAGTTCCTTTATCTGTCTTGGTGTATTGTGTCCTAGCAAAGGGCAAGTTGTGCGGTTGGTGACCCTGTGACTGTGTGTATATATGGGGGTTGGACAGAATAAATCTTTTAGCTGCGTTAGAGACGTCTCTTCTTCCCTGTTTCTGTCCCCTCTACGTTTAAGTTTCGATTTCATATCCTAGTGACGGGTTAAGTTGCAACAAGGTACACAAAGTTGCCTCCTTCACAAGAACAGCCCACCAGTCAATGTCTCACTTGTTTTCCTATCTAGAAAAAATGTTTAGAGCTACAAAGGCAGACCAACCTGCAATCTACGCCGCAGACGACAGCTCCCAGCCACTCTTGGACTCGAAGCAGTGTTTCGTCGTCTGCTAACTTGTCTGTTGTCTTGCCGTCAGCAACCGCGTCATCCGACAAAATGGCAGCCATCTTGGGTACAGGGAGCGAGAACTGCTGAGCGAAGGCGTAAGCGGGCTCGCAGCGGTCGACGGAGTAGCCCCTCTTTCGGAAGTACTCTCCCACCGAGAGCGGCGAGACGCTCCCAGACTCCGAGGGCGGCTGCCAGACGAAAGCGACGTCACAGACTAAGTCCGCTTCCCCTCTTGTCAGTGCCTGCACCACCCTTTCATAATTCTTTTTTCCGGGGTAGAAACAGTCCCTGACGAGGTCGATGGTAGACTCTGGCAAAGAAAAGAATGCAAAATGGTATTTTAGTACGGTGCCTGGACATGTTTCCGACTGATGTGTTTACGATGTCCTCATTTTTGGTTCCTTAATTTTTATTAGACATCACAAGAGAGTCACGGTCTTGCCTGCCAATGGCAGGGGGAAGTGCGGCAGATGCCTCTTCTGCTGCAGGCTGCCCTCTAGCTTGACACTCCATGGAAACCGAAGCAACCAGGACACGACGACGGAAGTGACTTTCATTTACTCTTTGTTTTTTGAGGTAACTCGTACGGCAATCCATGAGGATTGCGACACCCAGCAGTGTGGCTCCCGCAACATAATCTGTTGCCCCTTTGGGGCCCGTTTCAATGCATGAAAAAGATAGAACGGTAAACACGCCGGTCTAAGACGGGTTCCAACCACCATAACGTTAGTGACCGGCGGGCGTTGCAAGCGGCAGACTCACCGTAAACTTTGTGGCTCTTTGAGCTCTTGGCGCGTACCGAGCCTTCAAGGCCCGTTGAGTGGAAGACGTCCTCTTGGGATGTCAGGTGGAGCTTTCCTATTTACAGAAAAACAAATGAATTCCCAGGCATCAATTAGAGCCGCTATTTAGGAGGGACTCTTTACAGTGATGCCCACACAGGGGGCAACGATCGTTTTCAACAATGGGATGAAATCTACGAATGCGATGCATCACGGCACGGTGCACAACGCAAGACACTCTGCATGCCTTTAGAGCTCCTATTCAGTTTACTGCAGCTTCTGTGCCCTAACGCCTATCATCCTACTCAATTTGAGAGGCCATGCGCCAAGGAAAAATAAAAAAAAAATTATTTACGATATTGAAATTTAATTTTTCTTTATAGTGCTTCATCTTCTCTTTATAAATCTGGCGTTAAATTCAATATTGCTTGCTTTTTAGGCTCCCGATGCAATGTACATGCAGAAAAACCATGTTCTTGTGTACATGTGAGGCATGGCAACACGCTTAAGAAAGCCTAGTAAAATAAACTAATTTGCTCCTCTTAAACAACTGAGTGCAATGAACAACAAAAATAATGTGTGTGACACTTCTTCAATTTTAAAATAATTAAAAATAGCAAAAGTGCCATTTTCGAAGGGCTAACAATGTTTCTTAAATTTTTCATAAATATAAAAAAATATACATTCTAACCAAACCTAGATAGTTGTATTAAATATTCTAAAGTGTCAAATTTGGTTGTGAGAGGACCATATTAAAGGGAAACTCTGGTCAATATTTTTTTAATTTGGGATTACAACTGTTTGCAGCTAGAGCAGTATCCCTCAATTACAAGGTATAATTTTTTTCTTCGATATTGTGTGTAGTTATATATAAATATCATGGCCCAAAGTTTGGTTTCGGACGTCTACAGCACAACTGAAACTACCTGTTAGAGGGGTGGCAACACTGATCATCAGCCATACAGCTGTGACGTGACTCCACAAGGGTGCTGCGGAATATGGTGCAACAAACCAACCTCAGCTTCACCGCGACGTGATGTCACAAGGGTGCCGCGCCAGTGTTCCTTGGCCAAAAGCTAACCTGTTTGCCGCCCGCTAAAGAGCAACTGGTCGCGTCTTTAAAATCGGTTTTAGTGGCTTCACTTTGATGTAATATTTCGGCTGTGATCATATTTAGTGCCACTACAGCGATACCAGTTATTTATTTTGGTTTCGTTTCCGACCGAAATTGCCCTTTAAAGGGACGCTGAAGTTGATTCTGAGATTGTCCTTTTGTGGCGACAACTCAATCTAGACGCTCTAAGCATCCCAACAAACCTGAAATTACAATCGTGAGTAGCTTATTTTCTCTTTAAAAGCGTGCTCAAATATCGCGACACTCCCTTTTAGAGAGTGGAATGGTCGACGAAGGGCGCTTGTCGGCGAGTTGCAAGCGATGGCTTTGCCCCCGGGAAAAAAAGAGGAGACTTATCCGAATGTGTACCCATCAGACTTTCTTCAAAACGAGTTATAATAAAATCATTCGGAATCTGTGCGTATTGTAGGGCTTTCATTGGTCCACACAATGTTGTCCGCGAGAAAAAAAGAGTCCACGTGTTTTTCTATTGCCCTGCGATGAATACCGTAAAATCCCGAGAGATAGCCCACCTAACATCAAGAGCAAATTGGCTGAAAATATGGAGTGGGCTAATTATCGGTGTACAATCAAGAAAAGTTTAAAAATTGCTATCTTTAATTGCTATTTTTAGGTGTGTCCCTTCCAAGCTTGTTATGGTGGCGAGGGGCAACGAAGCAAAGATGACTGTACTTCCCAGTCAGCAATGTTCCCTAATATCCCGCCAAAACAAACTAGCCTCATTTATGCCGAGGCCATCACTGATCCCAACACTACTATTACTAGGGGTGGGCTGTCTTTCGGTGTTTTAAAAAATATAGCAAATCAACCAAAAAATAGGGGTGGGCCATCTTTCATGGGTGGGGCATCTCTCGGGATTTTACGGTCGGCGGTTTTCTAACCTAGGAGTTGGTATATGTGGGAAGTAACACATTTTTAACAATAAAAGATCAAAAATGTCCTTTTTCAAAAATGATTTTAGTGCCCCTTTGAGAATAGAAATTCTTGTGCACAAACCATGAAGATGCCTCAAAATTACATAAAAAGATAAACGCGGTTGCGGTATGCAAAGTAATATTTTGTTAACTTTCTATGAGAAATGGAAGCTACGAAAGACTATGAAGGGTAGACGGCTAGGCCTACTTGTCAGTGCAAATGCGATGGCGGGCAACGTCGCAACTTGAAGAACCACGCAGAGAAAAATGGCTCAAATTTATGGCATTCTAGGTTGCTTGGAGGTCTTCAAATGCATATTTGACCAATCTCGTGATTATAAGCGGCACTAATTATTTTTTTATACATCAAATATAAAGATTCAGAAATAATAAAACACAATAAAACCCAACATTACATTTTTTTGCAAATAGTTTTGTTTTTTTTATAAACATTTCCTCTGAAGCCAGTTCTCCAGAACATTATGTACAAGTACATGAATTGCCCATAAAAATTCTTGCAATTGCATTCTTCTTAAATTGCACGAATGGCAAGCTCGGTTGAGCCAAAAGGCCGGCATTCTATATGTTCTGTTGGCAGACCTCAGAAGCTTCATTCCCTGTGGCATTAGCCACGCTACAAATGCGCAGCATCCTCAAATTTACTCAACCTCCCTCGGGAGTAAAATCTTTGTACCGTGGCATTTAAAAAGTGTCCGGCCAACCCCACCTTCACTCGAGGTCTGTTCACTGCCCCATCTTTCTTTCTGCACTACAAACAGCGCTGACTCAGTGATTGGGCCAGCTGTCTCGATTTGTGTCTGACGCTAACGCAGGTCCAATATGGGTCAATGCTCGGCCGTAGATCGACGGAGATTGAGTGCCTTTCTAGTCTAGATGGAGTTGTTTTGGCACTTTCTGTGCTGTCAGGTGACAGACCCCCAGAGCAACTCCCCTCGAGCAGGTTTCGGAATGCAGCAGTGGTGTCACCAAATGGACATCTCCAAAAGTGAAAAATAGTTTGTCTTAACTCAAACTTCTGGTTTTACTTTCAAAGTTGTACTACAACTTTTGTAGATTTTTCCAAAGTAAACAGGTCCTTGCTGGAACTGTAAAGGAGGCAAAGACATCGTCGGGCATCACACATTTAGTTTCTGGTAACTTTCCGGACAACCGGGGAACAACTAAAAAGCAGAAGAAAGTAGTGCCTAATTTCTAACCCTTTAATGGCCAATATTTTTTTTTTTTTTTTTTTCCTTAAGATTAGTTTTAGTGGTTGGTTGTTTTTTTTTACAAAGGGAAAGTACAAAGAGCAAGTCAATGTACAGAATTTTTAAAAGATTATCTAATGGGAGAATGTATAGTAGTTGCAAGCTGCTCAGATCGAGAAGCATAAAATGAAAACGTGTAAAAACCTAAGGTTGTCGCATTTCTTCCATACAGTTAAATTTTGGCGAGTCTGATTCCATCACATTCTCAGTCTCAAACTCCGAACCGGAGGAACTTTACAGAGCCTCTTTATTGGATGGTAAGCTCTCGTCCTCCTTATTTAATTCCGAGGGGCATCGAGTCTGAATCGAAAGAGCCATCGCTCCGATAGCCACTATCCCTTGAAGAACTAACACGTGAAGTGGCCACTTCGAGCGTATCACTTGTGCGGAGAGTCACATTTCGCAGCTATAAAGGCCCCAGCAAAGCGAAACATGGTGCAAACATAACAACTATAGTTCCCCAAGATATAAGACATCACCACCTCCCAGGGTGCATGCAGCTTTAGTTCCCGCTCAGGCGGGAGCTAAAACTGTGTTATCTCCGACATACAGGTTCAGCGGCAACCCTGAAAGGGCTAGGCAACTCCAGCAAACAGGAAAATACTAACCACTGTTACTAAGGGGCAACACCCAACATTGCAGAAAAGTCTATTAGCTTGTTATAGATTACAAGGTGAATGCCTGGTACTAGCTGGAGAGCTACAAGAAATGTTTTTCAGTACCATCGGGCGTAACGGCAACGCACTGGCCAGTCGACAAGTCCGTGTTCACGGAGAGTCCAAACAAGCTTCCTGCAAGTTAGAGAAAGAACATTGATGTAGTGAACGACATGGATTGCATCGAACTCCGGTAATGTAGCAAGCGCCAACCTCGCTTGACAAAGGCCACCAGAAAATCCCAGGCAACGAGCTCCTTCAAGCTCAGGCTCCGCACAACCTGGTACTGCTGTGCCAAGAACAGGTTCCTCACATAGTCTGGCAGTCTGTATGCATTCGGAATGCACACCTGCAACTGAAAATCACGAAAACTGGCATAAAATATGGGTTGCACGAAAGGAACATTTAGATATGGGTTGTACAGTGTTTACACATGGTGTGAATCCGTGGCAAGTTCGCACTTCATCAAGGACCTGCTCATAACCTCAATCATCATAAGTGATGAAACGATTGATGATAAGACGAAATGGACCGACTTGACTTAATGAAAATAGAGACATCATCAGTGATGCCAAGGTGGCACGAATGAGAGGACACAACCTGTAGTACAAGCTAAGGAGGTCCACGCACACTTCAGGAAGGACACAGCAGGTGGTGTGGCAGGCCAATGACTCATTACAGATGCACCATGACTCTAAGTGTCTTCGTGGGCCCCACCTTTGTTCAAGCACCAAGGTCGATGCATACTCCAAGTCGAAATTGTTAGTTTTGGTAAGTCGGTGTAGTTTGTTTTATCGTAATGAATTACAATCCTAACATAGATGATATGATTGCTAAAGCCGGTAGGGCGCTCAACTTTATTCAGAAAAATCTAAAGTGCTCAGAAACTGCCTTAAAGAATACTGCCTATCTAACATCTTTCAGGCCGATTTTAGAATATGCCTGTGCCATTGCACCCTGCACAAAAAATTCCGACTGATAAACTGGAAAAAATACAGAATAGAGCTGCTTGGTTTGTCTTGGGGCGGTAAGGGCGGAAGGACAGTGTCCCTAAAAAATGAAATCTTGATGAACAAAATTGCGGTTAAAGTTCTTGTTTTTATTATACTTAATAACAAAACAGGATTCAATAGTGCAACTTATCTGAAAGAACCATATTATGTTTCTCATTGGAATGAACATGTCTCTAAAGTCAGAGAATGCCATGCCAAGACAAACATTTATGCAAATTCATTTTTTGTTAAAACTATTAACAGTGGAACCGGCCATCTGGAGAGAAAGTATCCTCTGCCAATGAAGACTTGTTTTTTTGCAAAACTGTAACTCCCTGCTGCGATGCCTTCGGGCGATGCAGGGTAATCATTGAATAAAGAATAAAGCTTCTGGAACCTATTTTGTACGATTGATGTTCGTATCATCAATCATGATGGGGACCTGCCATAATTGACGATATGAACGCGCCTAGAAACTGCCTGACAAAAAATGTTCGATGAGGCAGTTTTCAAAAATGACGTTCCCTCAATTCTGAACATTAGGATAATCCGATTTACCAGTTGAGCTGTTGGGTTTCAAAAGGGCTTTGCCATCCTCAGTTAGCTGCACCTTTATTATGAATATTATTGTTAATGCGGAAAAAACAATTACAGCAATATTAACAACTATTTGTTCATAAAAACGCCGCCATAATAAGCTTAGTATTTTGTCAGCAACAAAGCTGTAATGGATTTTCTTTTTCACGATCTGATTTTCTTGCAACCCAATACTTTCCCGATTTTCGTTTCTGTCCTTTAATTTTATTGCAAAAGAAATGTGACGTAACTGATGAAAGAAGTCGTAAGTAGAAATAAAGCTCAGTGCATCGATTTGCTCCAAAGACCGCTGCTTTTTGCTCGTGTTAAGTTCAATACAGATCTTTCTTATGTGATGATTCTTTGATTTAAATACAGAACATATGCACACATTGAAAGCATCAAGTGATAAACAAACTATTAAAAAAAACAAAAAAGAAATTGGGATTATTTTTGCGGGAAAGGTTTGATTTAAATCATCCCAGTAAGCCCGGTCTGACATAAATAACGTCATAAGTCATCATGATTTTTATTCTTCACCCTGGCTGTAGCCTTTGTTCCGCTTTTGTGAGCCCATTAAATGTGGGTTACCATATTCAATTCTGACATAGCCAGGATAGAGGAAATGCAACCTTTTTTATTTTCTGTTTGAATGAGGTAAGAATCGAAACCACTGTTTCTTAAACAAATGGTGAAATGCAAAGAATTGCAGCGCTGGGTAAAGTACACCTAAAAAGTACTTGAAATAAAATACAAAGTAAATGAGAAGTTATGTACTTCAAGTAAAATAGTAAGTACCTTGGACACAATGTACTTTAAAGGGGCAGTGACACACCAATGGGTCTTATTTGTTTTATTGTCTAAAACGATGCACACGCAAAAAAAAAAAGGCATTGTAAAAAAAAAATTTTTTACGCGCGCGCGTGCTTTTTTATTTTTGTTCTTATCCTCTCCCGCCTTTAGCCTCCTCGCTTCTTTTGATTCATGATGTCAGGATCATGAAATTTAGAAGCTTTGCAGGTGACATTTCTATAACATTTAATAACGGCAAACGTAAAACATGTTTTTAACGCAATTGCGAACGCACTACGGCCCTTCTTTTTGAAATACCAAAAAAATCGGTAGTTCGTTGCGGTGCCGTCTCCTGGATTTGTATCCTCCCACGGAAAACAGGCGACACCGCTCAAAACCGGTCCGCCGGCGCTCGCTCCTTTCCTCCTTGCTTTGGGTCGCGATGGCAACAGCACGAAGTTGTGAAAGAAAGTGGACTCTCAGGACTCCGCAATATTTGACGTCATTGCACCGGCGCGGATCGCGCAGGAACTTCAAATTCGGCATTTGGAAATTGTTTTTTTACTTTACAAATACTGAATTCCCAAGTTTCGAAATTTGAGGGTAATGTCTTGGCATCGTTTTCAAGATGCCAAGATGCCCCTCCCCCCTTTGTTTTTTAAAAAAAAACATTCTATTGAAATTATTTAATTTTTTTTTTGTCGGGCAACACCTCACGCCTACAAAGTGCGAAGAAACGAAAGCAATAGCTGTAGCACGTTCACGCAATGCAGGTGGAGTGGTGAATGGTGATGTCACATGGGAGGCACTCACTTGATCGAATGACGTTTTAGCGAACGCCCACGTTTCACCAAACGACACTTTAGCGAATAGTCGGACGCCGCGAAGCGGCGTTTTCAGGTGGGCCAAGTGGGTTGATATTTTTGTAATGAGCTGCCGCAGACTGTCGCCGCGAAGCGGCGTAAAGCGCAGCGCGAAGGATGGGTTGACGCGCGCCCCCGTCATTCGCTAAAACGTCCATTCGCTCAAATGTCGCTGTTCGCTAAAATGTCGTTTGCTCTTGTGATATGGACCCATGTCACATACCTGAGGACGTAAGTGCAACGTGGTTAATCCTCATAGCTGTCGTGGTTGGCATCAAGAATGCCACTGACGACTGCCACGAGTGCTCAGCGGTAAGCGCGGTTGAAGTTTCTAAAATCATCGAACATACGGGTAGCAACTGAATGCTGCCAAAGTGGGATTTCACATAACGTCAGTAATGTTTGAAAACAAGTTTCAAGCAGACGACAGGACGACTCTCCCTTCGTCGCGTCGATACTGGTGGGATGCCGGGGCACCCCGCTCTTTCTCGGCGCTGTGCGGCCGACGGGAAAACCCGATTTCACTGGCCTCGCGCCATAAACAAAAAAGTTTTTTTTTTCTCTCTCATTTTTGCGCGCGCGGCGATGACAAATCCCCGCAAAGTGTCGCCCGTGGAACTATCGCTTTGAAATAAATTCTGCTAGTGAAGTGCAAAATGACCGCATGCGCATAGGGTATCCCAGCATACTTCAGTTGCGTGAACGTATTTCAGCGAACGCTCCATTTTTAGATTCGTAGGTGAGCTTTCCTTTGCATCGGACAGTTTTGCGGTGAGCCTTTCTCCGCCGCCCGATGCACCCGCGTATCGCCAGTTTTTCACCGGAAAGCGCTCCGCCGCCGGACTTACAGCATGGGCGAAGTTGAGGCTCCCGAGTGACTTTTCGCTGTCCCACGTGGTGCTTGGAGAGTGCGAGACACACACGTCAACGTCCCAGTACAGGCTCGGAAAATCGGGCCACATATTTACGCCGAAATGTCAACAGCCGACAGAACTTCGCTGGCTGGAGTCTATCATCTGCAAGCCGCCACGGCAGTAATGTCCCGGCGCACTTGGTCTGTATCACCTGCCCACCGACAGTAACATGTTAATTTATTTATGTTTAGGCGACTCGATATTTTGACGATGATTTAAATATCTGCGGCAAACAGCAACAAACACGCGGCACTGCACGTGGACGACCGTGGTGTACATTATTAATAGATCAATAAGTACAACAAACGAGGCACTATTGAACTGGGTGGCATCTCGCGCTACCTATTTAGTGTGTTTTAATTTACCCTTTATCAGTGCTTTGACCAATGAAAACTGAGGATTTCTCAGCCTCCTTGGGATGTCTTTAAATTGGGTAAAAATAAACTTGAACATGAACCATAAAACATGCAGCACGATTTTAAACCCCACCAAAACTACATAGGTTGCATCTTTCTCCCGCAAGGCAAATGTCATTGCACGACGTGCCACCAGGTGCCACCGTGCTCGTACATCCATCGAGGAGGCGTGTTCATGGTGTTTTTTGGGTTTCTTGGATGGAGGCGACTGGCTTTACACTTCCGAAACTGACTGTCTCTTCCGTCTGTTCCTCAACTGAACCGCTTCCGAACAGTCACCGAACTTTTGAAAGCCGTTGCCAATATTTGTCACGCATGATGTACCCCACGAGCTCCGCGAATTTTATATGTAATTGCTAGCACGCACCTCCTGAGGAGACGGTGCTCTAGGGACGGCGATGTCTACCGCTTCAGTGGAGAAGAGCTTTGTATGGTCGCCGGCTCCCTACGGCAACCGAAAGTTCAGCGTCCGTCGTAGCGTTCAGGTCCCGAACGACCTACCAGTCAAGGAAATCGTTTTCCGTCTCATGCAAGAGGAACAGTTGCCCTGCTACGTCGAAGACGGTAAGTTGCCCTTCGCTGGATTTCGAGCTGGTCGATCGAAACGCGACCCTGGTGCGGTGACAATCGGTTCATCGAACGACGTTTCATCGACACGCGATGTTTCATCGACAGCTCAAATTAGCTCTTTTCTGTAATAAACTGCATGAGACTGTCGCCGCGAAGCGGTGTGTACGGGTTGGCCAGGTGGGTTAGTATTTTTGTACCGTCGTGCACCTCGGCCGGAAAGGGCTATACGCACAACGCGAAACTCGTATAAAACGAATGGTTACAACGAGTTTTCAAAGCGGCGGCGTAGCGTAGTGGTAAGGTGTCTGCTTCACACGCAAGTGGACGGAAGTTCAATCCGCGGTGTGGGTCAACTTTTTTTTTTTTCTCGAACATTTTGTTTGAGTAAAGCTATACGCACTCCGGAGTGCGCTTCGGACGGAAATGGCTATACGCACTCCGCTTTTCTCGTATAAAAAGAGTGGACACAACGAGTTTCCTAAGCGGTGCCATGGCATAGGGGTTAGGGTGTCCGCCTCATACGCACGTAGACGCGGGTTCGATCCGCGGTGGGCCTACTTTTTTTTTTCCTCGAACATTTTGTTTTGTCGAGACATTTGGCGATATTTACGACATTTCCTTTTTTGCGATGAACAATAAAATAAAAAAAAATCGAATGTTGTCGAGAAACTTCGCGGAACTAAATGGTATCGGACTCCCTTTCCGGAGGTGCGATCGGGGACAGCGGGCCTTGGATTGCCGGCTGGACGCCGCGAAGCGGCGTGTACTGGTTACGCTTTGTAATTAGCAGCCGATACTGTCGCCGCGAAGCGCCGTGAACGCAGGCGGGGGGCTGTGTTAACGAGCGCCCCAGTGATTCACGCGCCGTTCGAAAAGGGTGGCCCGAGCGGCATGATCTCTCGGAGGAGTGCGTATAGCCATTTCCGCGCGAAGCGCACTCCAGAGTGCGTATAGCTTTACTCTTTTTTTAGTTGAGGCATTTGGCGATATTGGCGAAACTTCGCAGAACTAAATGCTATGGGACTCCCTTTCCAGAGGTGCAATCGGGGACAGCGGGGCCTAGGTTGCTGGCTGAACGCCGCGAAGCGGCATGTACGGGTCAAGTTTTGTAATTAGCAGCCGCACACTGTCGCTGCGAAGGGGCCCTTTATACGCAGGCGGGGGGGGGGGAGGGGGGGGAGGGGGGGAGGAGGAGGAGGAGGAGGAGGAGGAGGAGGCGAGGCGGCGGCTGTTAACGAGCTCTCCAGTGATATACGCGCCATCCGAAAAGGGTGGCCCAAATGGCATGACCTCTCCATGTAGTCCATGTAGTGTGTATAGCCATTTCCGCCGAAGTGCACTACGTAGTACGTATACACGAACTCATCTCTGTTACGTCATGGCGCGGTGGTGGCGCGTCGGGTGCACATCCGGTCTGGGGCTGTGGGCGGATGTCGCCATGGGGCACGTGCATTCCTGCGTTACTTTGGAAGAAACGGGACAAAAACCTGCCTTTTCATCAAAACGCTGCGACGGGCTGCAGCAAAAGAGTCGGGAAAGGTTTCACAGTCAGTTTTCATGCGTTTTCTGCCTGCTCGGTTCGTCCGAGACCGTGAACAAGGGCCATGAAAAAGGAAAAACAGACGCCGTTGGACCACGATTGCTTCGGTGGGAAGCACTCTGGACTGAGTTCATGTACACTTGTGGTCGTCAGATTTATTTGTTTTGTTCCAACATGAACGCGGGAAAACCGTAAAGTTACACAGACCACCTGTGGACTGCGTTCAGTGCGTCGTCACGTGTAAACGGCCGCCTCATTGTTCGAGCTGTTGTCTGCTCTCTCATACGTTTGTGCTTGTCGTCTGCTCGTTCAAACGACAGCGGCCCGTAGACCAAACGTCGATCCGATAATTGCGATAAGAGGTGCAGACCTCAAAAACGTTTAAGTTTGAAGGTTGCTTCTGGTAAGTAGGCTCGGTGTAAACAGTAGAAATAAGATGTTGATAATTGTTACCAGTGGCCATCACCGACTTGTTATTCCCGATTCACTCGGTCCGATTCTGCTTGCGATTTTCAGTATCGACGTCGACATCTCAGCTACGGTTCCGGCTTTTGCAGCCCGAGCGACGTCATGACTGAAAATAGTGAGCAGAACCTCACCATGTGAATCAGGCTATCGCCCCATGTCACATTATTCACGCGAAGTTTTGCGGTGTAAAGCGTCTCGTTAATTTCGCTGAGGCCGCTCAAGTAGTCAGACATCGCCAGGAAGACGTAGAATCAACAATTCCAACGCAAAAAAGAGCACGGGGACTCATACCGACGTTGACAACATCCCATTCCAACGGTTTGTTTATGGGCGATGGCGAGTTTCTTGCCCACACCCCCATCGCGCATGTGCAGCGTCGGTGGCGTTTGCTAGGGGCGCTCCGGTTTGTTTGTAAACATGAGTGAGTGTATAGCTTTACTCTTTCTGTGATGAGCCGCCGCAGACTGTCTCCGCGAAGTGGCGTGAACTCGGGCGAGGGGGTGGGTTAATGCTCACCCCAGTGATACACGTGCGACAAATTGTCCCTACAGCGTGCAATTTGCGTAACGAGTGTCGATGAAACAATCGTGTTGATGAAATGTGTGTCCAGGAAACGTGTGTCCATGAAAAGTTGTCCACGAAAAGTAATTACACGAAACAAGTTTCGACGAAGTGATAGGGCTTGAAGGCCTAGACACCTTTCGAAAATATGTCGTTGAAACTCGGTGTCAAAATCTGTTAACTATATGAATAGTTAGAGGGGGGCCAGTTGGTACATTGTTCCTTTTTGACGAAAGCGCCACAAGACAAGGACATAAAGTAAGAGACGGCACAAGCGCTATAGTCAGTGACTGGATGGATGAGACACCAAAGCATAGTAAGCTGCTTTTGTTTCCACCGCGCTTGTCAAATATGTTTGAATGCGAGAGCCAAACATAGAACTCCGGCGTTCGTGTCGGCTACCTCTGACTTCAGTGAAATGTTGTATTAGTGTGGGATGAAAATAGTCAGATCTTGCAAAAGTATTTCCTGGAATTTAGAATAATGAAATGGAGCTGCAAGAAAGTGCATGTAGATGATGATTCAGTCATTATCATGCACATAGTACATATTTGTGATGGTGTGTTATTAAGCAACCTTTTCTTTTTCTTATGCTAAATATGTAAAATAGTATAGATACATCATTTGATAATATGTGTCATGCACACTTTCATTAATGTACGTGGTCTCCAAAGAGGAAATAATCGAAAATACTCAGTTGCCGCTCTCATAGTCCCAGTAAGACGCTACAATTATTTCAAGATTCGCCGTAAAAACTTCAGACTGAAAAGAAAAACAATCCATATATTTACATCAGTTGGCTTCTTATTTATCCATTGATTGTGCAGCGAGACACGGCAGGAGTGCGGCATCACTTTCCCATGGCAGTGCTCTGCCCGTCACCTCAAACATGGGTCGCCATGTTCGGGGCTACGGAAAAAGGTTGGCGCAACGTCCGACAGATGGTGCACAAATGTGAATAAGGTCTACAGAATATACTGGGTGTTTTTCAGGCTTTACAGATTTATTTAGAAAAAGTCGCAGAAGCTACACAGTGCAGTTTGTGCAGGCAAGTTCTACGGCCAGAAGGACATTATATAGGGGGCTTATGGTCACAATATGTCGGCTAATTAAGTGAAAAATGTTAACTTTTTAATTAGTGAATATAAACATATGCTTCCAATTAGAAACTTGCTTAGTATCATTGAAGAAGAGATGTGACAACAAATAAAACTTGATTTGATAAAACTTGATTTGACCACTATATCAGTCAACTTTAAAAAGACTTGGAGCACGATGGGGTGCCAAAGTTATCACTTGAGCAGCAGAAGCAAAGCAGCCGGTGCGAGAATGTGCACGCACAGTTTTTTTGTCCCTTATCATCCATGTTTTCTAACCGCCAGCCTTGTGCCCGTAGCATGAGGCTGGCGGTTAGTCTTTCTGAAAATTCATGATTTAGAGCATTATAAATTAGATAGCGCAACACGACAAGGAAAGTAGAAGGATTCTCCTATTCCTCCTCTTGTCGTTTAACACCCGAGGCTGTGGTGCAGGAAAAGAAAAAGTTTTAGTCGAAGGAACAGATGCAGATTGGCTACCACCAACTCGCTTGCACACTTAGTCTTTTTCTTTTCCTTGTCTTGTTGCTCTATCTAATTCATAGGATGTTCTATCAACTAGCCCACCGGACGATCTTGATGCTGATGTGGTTTTCCATGACATTCAGCAAGTTTCTAATTAGAGCCATATGTTTATTTTCACTAATTAAAGTTTATGAACAAATTGTAGTTAATTATTTGACTTACGGCAATGATTATCCCCCTATATTATGTCCCTCTGGCTATGGGCGTCCTAATTGGGAGAGCAAAAGGGTGCTTGCCCCCCCCCCCCCCCCCCCCCCCCCCCCCAGTTCTCAAAGTGGGGGGGCAAGGCATGTGTTTTGTCCCCCCTGAAACAGCTGCCTCTGGGCAGGGCAAACACTGGCCGGTGGCACCCAAGGGATACTAAGGGCACTGCCCCCCGGCCCTGAGGAGGGGGGGGGGTTCTGGTTTGCCCCCCCACTCGAAAACAAGTTGGTACGCCACTGCCTCTGGCCATATAACTCACCTGTGCAGACTGCATTAGTGTAGCTTTTGCAGCTTTTTGTTAAGCAAATATGTATAGCTCAGAAAAATGCCCTGTGTAGACTTTAAAAAGCTTAATGTTTCATAACCAGTAAAACATTTTCATTTCTCTATTACCAATTTGTGTCAAGTACAAAACAATGGAATAACCTTCGAAGAGAATGGAAACTATGCCTCAAAATTTGTCTGGGACGATATTTTGTTTGGGTTTGCACTTGGGACCATTTTGTCTGGGGCCATTTTTTCCGGAATCATTTTGTCCAAATCTCCGGGCGAAGGGCCCTGACATTTTGTGGTGGTGGAAGGGATGTCAGTGGACCTTGTATTATCTAGTTGGTGCTGCACTAGCATATAGATTTGAGAAAAATGGAATGTGCACTGAGACATAGAACAGTTATCCTGCATACAGTGCTGGCCAAGAGCTTTTGACAAAGATTGAACTTCCTTTTTATGTTCAGGTAATAATTTTAACAATATTTAGCATGGTTATTTTAATGTGATAGCATTCTCTAGAAACCCCCCATTTCCCCACTCGATTTCGTGGACCTTTTTGGCCTCCTTCTTTTCAGTTTCCTCGCTAAATTTAGCGAAAAAATTGATGTCACGTGAATTATGCACAAATTTAGTTTCCCTGCTAAATTTACTGAAAAATTAATGTTATGTGACTTAAGCACGAATTCAGTTTCCCCGCTAAATTTGGCGGAAAAATTGATGTCACGTGACTTACAGACAAATTCAGGTTCCCCGCTAGATTTAGCAGAAAATTTACGTCCCGTGACCTATGCACCAATTCAGTTTCCCTGCTTAATTAGTGGGAAAATTGAAATCATAAAAAAAAGTGTTTACTCAAAATTTTTGTCGCCGTTTTCACAGTGAGCTGCGTCGCGAGTCTCATGACGAATGCTATCGCAATTCATAGAAAACCAACAATAGCGGTTTCTGCAGCCATTTTGTTTTTATCTTGCTTTCCCAAGAAATGCTGGAAGATATATTTTTTTGGAATCTTTATTGATGGTATTTAGCGATAAATTTTGTACTTTCTATATTTAATGCCAGTCTGTGCTTCATTGGGATATGCTATCTTTGTACATATTATATCCCAGTATGTGCATTGCCATTGTACCTCATCTCTGTCTGTATATTTATATCCTAAGGTTTTTTTTTTTTTTTTTTATTGCCTCTCGTACAAGTAGTCTTGAATAAATAAAAATTTGGCTCGCTCTATGCCGACAAGTCGTTATGTCTTATTAGGATATTTTTCTTTCTCCAACACAGATCTGACGACCAGCTTGTCCGACTTCATTGCCCACGAGACCGAACAGTTCTTTGACCAGACTTCGTCGACAGCCATAGAGAAATTTCAACGCGATGGTGACGTGGAGGCGTTGACAGCACGCTGGACCCGTGATTTTCGAGAGGCAAGCCTGTTTTCTTCAGGGTTCTGTGTTTTCGGTAAACATCAATAAACCCCCAATTCCTTACATGCGATGGGCCAGCTGAGCAAAGAATACACTGCACACACACAAAGCACCTACATTCACCAACAGTGTGAATGTTGGTGTTTTGTGTATGTGATGTATTCTTTGTTCAGCTGGACCACTGTAAGCAATAAACCAACTAGCTAATTTTAAAGGCTGGCGATCATATGCAAGATTCTGCCAGGCAGAAGATCCTCCTCAACATGGGGAGGGTGAAACAGGCAACGGTGGACTGGGTAGAAGTGGGGAGGGGAGGAAGCCGGGGAAAAGTGGAGAGCGCGAACTGGTCGTCAGTCCTTAAGCTTGGGACCAAACCCCAATATTATCCTCTGGGCCAGTTTTATGAAAATTGGGAAAAACCTACAATCCTCGAATTGGAGTTCTTGTATAAGAAAAACCCAAGTTTCACACTGATTTAAAAGGTTAAAAAGCCCAACAAAACAAGGACAATAAAGACACAGACGACAGGATGGGCGCTAACTCGCAACTGATTTTATTAGAAAAAACACTCACTTTTATACACAAGATCGTATGCCACCCCCACACTGCAACCAATCACCACTCTCGCAAGCAGCTATCTAGAAACATTACTTCTTTCTGGAGCAAAAACAGAGAATAGATGCTAATGCATTTGTCATCTTTCCTTTTGATATAAGACACCTCTATAATCTCTCTCTCGGTTTTATCTTTTGATTTCTTTGAAAACTTAGTTTCAGTCAAAAGAGGCTTACAGTCAGCACATCACCTGCTGTGGTCTGCCAGGTGTCCCTTGTACGGTGTCCCTTTTCTTGTACGAAACTCAGATGAAGTGATTGACGTGTTTAGAGAGGGGTGTAAAAGTGCCCTCTCGGCTTTCTCTGTAGATGTTGAGTACCTCTATTATTCTGTGCCTCACGACGGGTTACTCCGAGTCGTTCGGGATAAAATAGACGAGTCCAGAGAGGTCAACTTTCAAAGTTCTGCGGGCATTAGTAGCAGACATTTTTTAGAGTTGTTGGTCTTTTACCTCCAGTCCACTGCCGTCAGTTACAATGAGCGTTTTTTTGCGCAGAAATCTGGTGTTTGTATTGGATCGTCGGTTGCCCCTGTTTTATGTAATACATTTTTACATCAATGAACAGGCGCATTTCGGAATGCCTACCTGACTTGCATGTAGTTAAGTCTTCAGACATGTTGATGATTATCTTTTAATTTTAGACACAAATTCGGGCTTGGATAAGGTTGTTGCGGGGATCGTCAATGTTTTTAAAGAAGCGTCAGGTGGACTTAAGTTTACATGGGAAATGCCCGTGCTGAACTGCATTAGTTTTTTTGACCTTATGGTCATGTTTTCCGACGACCATGTTTGTTGGAAGTATAGTTCGTGTTCCAACAAAAGCCTCGTTTCTTACAAAAGTGCACATTCCAAACTGGTCAAGAGAGGTATCGCGTTAACATGTCTTCAGGCAGCTCTTGCAAAAAGTTGCAAGCATCAGATGGACATCTGTTTTGCTCAGCAAGTAAAAACATTAGAAAATGTAGGGTACCCACCCAACCTAATTTCGAGCTGCTGTGAGAGCCTACTTCAAGAAATAAAAAGAACTAACTTACAAGGGGGCAGCCAGACAAATAGTTAAAAGACGTGTACATGTGATTCGTTATTGGCGTAAAATGTCTCACAATATTAAAAAGATAGCTAGTAGATACAATGTAAATGTTGTTTTTTCGGCCCCTTGCAAACCCTCAAAAAATCTGTTTGATGCTTACACAGCAGAAAAAAGCACTCTGCTCTAGGAAGCACACTGTACAGTAAGTACACTGAATGTGTGACCAATGTTGTATACAAAATTCCATTAAGCTGTGGAAAAGTTTATATTGGTCAAACCGGGCGCTGTTTTAACGATAGGGCACGTGAGCATAATCTTTCTGTGCGCAACAACTCGGGGGGACACCTGGCAGACCACTGCAGGCGATGTGCTGACTGTAAGCCTCTTTTGGCTGAAACAAAGTTTTTAAAGAAATCAAAAGGTAAGACCGAGAGAGAGATTATAGAGGCGTTTTATATCAAAAGGAAAGATGACAAATGCGTTCGCTTGCCTTCTCTCTTTTTGTTCCAGAAAGAAGTAATGTTTCTAGATAGCTGCTTGTGAGAGTGGTGGTTGGTTGCAGTGGGGGGGTGGCATACGGTCTTGTGTATAAAAGTGACAGTGTTTTTTCTAATAAAATCAGTTGTGAGTTAGCGCCCATCCTATCGTCTTTGTCTCTTTATTGTCCTTGTTTTGTTGCACTTTTTAACCCTTTAAATCAGTATGAACCAGCTTGCCCAAACAAAAGTTTTAATCCAAGTTTCACTTCTTTTCTGTGTTAACCCAGAACAGACCGAATTGTCCACGAGGCTACTTCTTTTTTCGGAATGCCTTATTTAATTTTCTTCTCTTATCGGTACCGGGACGTTTTCCAAATATTTGGGTCGCGCGCATATGTTCGCTAAAAGTTTAGAGAATCCCTTGCCCGTGTTCGGTTTTCATTGACGTTAACCCCAATAAACGTCCTCGTTTGTCTGATACCAAATATTGACACCAAAAACAACGAATTTGTAGGAAAAAATTAGTCCTGAAGAACCGCTCCCAAATTCAAAGAAAAATGTACCTTCAAAATAGGAAACCCCAGTTATGATGTTGTGACTGGTACTTCTGCACACATGAGGTACTTCCATGAGCTATCACTTGCACCGATATATCTGTTAACACAAAACCTTTAGCAGAAGAGCTTAGCTCCCTCCAAGGTATGGGTCTCGCATCTTGTAGCCTGGTTAACTATTGATTCAAGAAGTGCAAGTCAAGAAGGCCATCCATTTATATGGGGTTCTATCTTTGGGGAGGCCGCAGCAAAACTTTATAAAAAATTAATGATAAACAATGGGGCACTTGCTACAAACAACGTGACACGTGAACTGATACTCCAGATTGTGGACACCGGAAATTCACATTTTAGGATACGATAAACACCCGGGAATTTGGTGCAAACTCCTGTATCATGGGAAAGGATACCGCAGGGTGCAGATGCAGCGGATTCGCATTTTACCGTGTAAAGGACCCGCTGAAACCCGCCGAGAACTCTTATCTCACGGGAATGAATACTGCAAAACACGGACGCAGCAGATTCAAGTTTTAAGGTGTAGTGAACACGCGGGAACCCAATACAAACTCGCCTGTCACGGGAACCGATATTGGGCGCACAGATTGCGGACAAAAACGCGGGAATCCGATACAAACTTGTATGTCACAGGAACGAATACTGCAGATTGCGGACGCAGCAGAATCATATTTCAGAATGCAATATACACGCGGGACCAACTCGCATGTTATGGGAATCAATATTGCGCATACAGGTTGCGGACAAAAACGCGGGAATCCGCTACAAACTCTCATGTCACAGGAACAGATTGCCGCCACTCTTGAGATAACCCTTTGGCCCCTCTATTAGTACCCCTGTTGGTAGCTGAAGTCGCGAATTCCGGTCACGTTGTCCGATTGTACGGGCGAAACCTCAAATCTCCCCCCCCCAAAAAAAAACCAAACTCCAAACTTTTTTTTTTTTTTTTTTAGATTTTGTTTTTGTAGTTTTAGTAAAAAAAAGACTTTCTGTGCACAGTATAGCTGCATCGCTATTGCCAGCAAGCGTATGTGTTCCCAAATACTTTTCTAATGGATTCGAGTTACTGCGAGTTATTCCGGCGGGTCATGTCACGTGACAACAGAACTGCAGCAACACTGCATGCGGTAGGTTTCCGAGGCTTTCGAACGCCAAGGCACTAAACCTCTACCCTTGAGCGCGACTGAGTGTACTTTGGAACACGGCCTCAGTTTCTCTGCACAGTCTGCGTCGGGACTTGTTTTTCTTTGTGTAGTAGCGAGTTTGTTTCAAACATTTGAGGCCAGATTCATGAAGAACTTCTTAGGCTGGTAAAAACTTAGCTGGGGAGTTTGTAAGTTATGAAAATTGTAGGAAGTGGAGAAATTGGTATTCACGGATGCGTTCTTAACTGAGATTAGGAAAGGAATATTCTTGTACGGGAAAATAAGAACTTTTGGTGTCCTGCGAGCTCCCCATCACCGCGAGAGCGGCCTGTTGCTATGGTGACAGCGCCTTCGGCAACACAAACAGCCAATCGAAGAGCTTGACGTGATTGGAACACGTGAGTTTTGGATCGCAAGAAACATAGGTGGCCCTTCCGGCAACGCTTGGTTGGGGTCGTGTCCGTATGGTCTAATGTCGACATTACGAAATGTCGGTTTAAACGGACCCTAACACCCAGCTGCGCAGAGGACATGAAAGTGCCTTTGTCGACTGCTACCACGTCAACACAACTACCATAGTTGCTAAAAAGGGATGGCCCGTACCGCTCTGCAAAGTGGCACACAGGAAAACAAATCACCGTGGCGTTTTTCGTGGCCTCGGAGACGTCCAGGATGATACGCTTGAACTACGAGAGTGCCAGCAAGAGCCACATAAATACTTGTTCACATTGGGAGTGAAACCACGCTGGCACCATGCTGTTGGACTGCGTCTTGGTAACTGCCTCGGGAAAAATCTTTTACAAACAATTATACGAGTCGCTGGGGCACTAGACAATTCCAACTCGAAGCTGATGTGACGCTTGGCAGAGGAAGGTTGGACCCGCATTGCGTAGCTCGCGAAAATTGTTGTGACTCGACATGTGTTGACGTACCGTCATGTTGGAGTAAAGGGGACATACTTAAGAAAGTGTATGTACCCATGTTGCAAAGGCAATTCGTATGGTGTTTATTTGAGCTCTATAACACACAAGAAGGAAGATAACATTGAGCAGAATGTCCCTTTTCGACAAGAGCGTTCACCACTGCTGCCTCTGAAAACAAGGGGGCGATAAGTTTACTGTGGTTGACCGAACACCGTTTCATTGAAACGGGTTTTAGAGAATGGCATGTTTTATCGGAGCTTGGTTGAAAAAAAGCAGAGCCTCAGTTTAGAGAATTGGCGTTTTTCGAAAAGGGCACACTGTTTAGAAAAAGGGCTCTCCTACTTCGCGCGTTTATCACTGCAGCGCATGTTGACCCACCCAGCTGCCCCTGTTTATGCCACTTCATGGCGACAGCCTGCGGCGGCTCATTACAAAAATGTTAACCCACCTGGCCCAACTGTAGACGCTGCCCCACGGAGGCCAAATTCGCTAAGGCTTATTGCCATTTTCTCGAAACTAGGTTTCTTTAAAGGGATTCGATAAACTGGAGTTCGTAAGACAGCATTCACTAAAGCTTTTCTAAACTGTATGCCTCTGGAAGGGGGGGGGGGGGGGGGTTGATGATGATGATGATGATGATGATGATGATGATGATGATGAGGAGGAGGAGGAGGAGGAGGAGGAGGAGGAGGAGGAGGAGGAGGAGGAGGAGGAGGAGACGACTAACTAACCCTTTTACCCAAAAAATAGAAGTCAGGGTTCAACTTGTTCATTCGAGAAGGGTCAACAAAGGTCGTGCGAGCATATTCTATTCAGCAAGTCAGCCGGTTGAAGGAAGATGGTCTTAGCCAGGAACATCGGAGCAACGTTGCACCAAACTGCCTCGCTAGGCCTAGCATTTGGTGATATCGTCGCCGCTGTAGCTTTTTTTGGGTATCTGCGTTTTCACCGTTAGTCTTCGCGGCGTTCAGTTTTGAGTACTTGTGTTTTTTTTTTCTTGCCGCTCAAAGTTGGGACGTGTGCGAAGAGCACATAGAAAAATAAATGCCTGTTGGTTTTCAGTAGAAGGGTATGCACTTAGGCTAGGTGGTGATCCATGTTTCCAAGGGTAAAAGTGCTCTTTGTTGTTCGTTTCTTTTACTAGTCCATTGCTTTTAGGGCTTTTACCCCCGGAAAGTTGGTTTTCAGAATGACGTAAGCAAGCAATGTTTTTGGACACATGAATTTTATCATGAAAAGTGAGAAAGACACCTCTGGAGCTGCCATAAGATTCCGTTGTAATCTATGCAAAATTTACGATAATTTCGCTTCGCGAATACGAATTAGTTGTTAGGTTTTGTCATACACAACTTTTTTGTCGTAAGATAGTTTTGTGAACCTCATATGCTGACCCCCACCACCCCCCTAAAAACACCTGCATCCGCTCCTGGTCAAAATTCCTTGTGATCTCATATGACAAGAGAAAGCACTGGTGCCATCTGTTGCAGATTTGGAACACTTGCCATTTCCATATATGTTTTCCTTTTTTTTTCTCATCATTTTTTCATCGTGGGCAAACTTTTGACAATGTCGTAAGTGATCATTTCTCATAGGTAGTATGTATCGTAATATACCGCAGAAGTGCCCACTTCGTTCAAGCGCCCGCTATTAACATTTTTCAAACTTGGGAATTCTGCACATTATACTTTAGCCACCTGATTTAGTCGGACAAGCACCCACGTCTGGATTAACCCAGTTTTTAGGTTATTTTACGGTATGTACATTTGATCTTACAGATACTGCAAAATCTTTGCTCTAGTGAATTGCGGGTTCACCTCTTGGACTGTGCCAGTCTGTTCTCACGTCGTGAGAGATGGCGAGGTCGTAAACAAATGGGAGTGTTTGAACCAGTTTTAAGTCTGTCCGGTGTTTTTTTCTCTGGCTTGGATCTCAGGAGCACCTGTGCTACGCGAGTGCCGAGGAGGAGACGCCCGACTCCCGGTTCCCGCACATGTACCACACGCTCATCCACTCCCCGGCGTTGGACACCGTGCTGAACCTAGAGCACACGTACGCCGTGGCCGTCGGAGACATGGTGCGGGAGCGCGACGAGACCCTCGGCCGGCTGCAGAAAAGGTCTTGCACACCCCTAGGACCTCTCGGCGTCCCCCGCCGCCAGCACGTGTTCGCGCCGTGTCCCTGTTTTCTTCCACGATGCGCCAGCGCACCGTCGATTTTGTGCTCTCGGGTTGCATGCCGTGACGCATGACACGAGCACAAAGTGATGCGCCCTTGCCGTACGCTTGTCCCGTGGATTATATTCGCGTCTGTTACGAAAATCCCCAAATTGTGCGACATTGGGACAGGAGCTGCCTGTGTGTCGCGCAGATTCAGGTTGTGGGTCATTGTCACAAGTTTGTCACGGAGTTGCACGAACGATTCTGTCACGCAGTCACACAAACCTCCGATACAAGTGTAAAGTGATGCACCAGTGTCCCTTAGTGTTTTGCCTTTTTTGTTTTTACGTGGGCTCATCTATGCATCTGAAAAAAGGTGCAAAACGTTAGAATTGAAGGCTGTCCGCAGTTTTGAACCGGGTCAACTTTTGTGGAGCCCGACAAGGTTGGGGGATTCGGCTGAACAAAAGTCACAGTAAATGTACATGTACCGTCTCCACCAATATGAAAGACCCACTTGGAGCGCATGGAATTGCTTAAAGCGCAAGCAGCTTCCCTGTCAGCCACCGGTCACGTACAGTCTTTGCAAGAGTCGGAGTCGAACCGGGTATTATTTTGGTTCGATTTGAGTTCGAATTCAATAGCTTTACATTTTCTTCCGGTTTAGTTTTGGTTCAGTGATGCATTCAAAATATCGGTACGGTTACTGGTTTCAGCAAACACAAACCGGTTCAAGCCTTAGACCGCGGCTGCCCGTGCACTTCCTGCACTAAACAAACGGAAAAGTTTGCAGCTTTCAGCGGTTAAGAAAATGAAAGTGTGTTCGACTCGGCATCATCTCCATTAAAAATACAAAAAGTGGTCAACAGAACCCGTACCACGGAAATGAGGAAAGCAAAACAAAGAGATGCTTAGTTTTGTTTTCTGATCCTGACTTTTTTTTAAGGGGTGTGCGAATATATGAATGTGAACTGGATACAAAGTTCCCAAATAATTCAATTCGCGAATCGAGTTCCTAGTGTTTGGTCACTGAAATATTTTTTATATTCGGCGAAAGACGTGCCAATTGCGCGTCTTTCGCACACCTCTAAAAAGTGCACAATCTAGCCAAAAAAGGAAAGAAAAGTTTGCTACAAACCTTGACCCGTTCCCTCACTTGCGTTTGACAACGGCTGACTTTGACACTACCAGTTTTTGAGCAGCACGCAGATTTAATTAGGATTGTGACGCAATTTTGAATCATAACCAAAACATTCCGTTTGTGCTGCTTGCAGATAGGAATTGTTGGGAAGCCGAAATTCCCCGCCCTGCCTAACTCTTTTCACAAGTAAAGCCCCTCGTTTAAAATTGAATCGTTGATGTAGAACACACTTGGCACACTCACGAAAATTGGCGGCTGTTGTCATTGTTGTTTTGGAACCGCAAGTCGCAAGTTCAGATTCAGAACGAGACGGAACAGAAAAATAGTAGTGTGCCTAGGTTTGAGAGTATTTCCAACTTTTCGATAGCCGCGTTTGAAACACGAACTGCGACGAGGGGATGAAAGGACGAAAGCATTGATCGCTTACAGGCATCGTCACTCTTTTGTTCGCTTCCCTTCTTTTCACGCGACAACACAACGCATGCGTTCAGGCACTCTTGCTGCAAATAGTGCAACACGCTTGTCCGTGTTGCCTGGAATGTTGTCCAGGGCTGAAACACAAAGTCGATTCAAATATAATAACATATAATTCTTGCTATCCTTAGTCTCTGGTGCAAGTATGATAGCATTTCATTATTCTTGGGTACCGTATTATACAAAATATAAGTATTAATTGGATGTCATATGAGGGGGTGCGGTTCACAGCTTGCACTCAAAACTACCTAGCTTCCATATATTGTCTGCCAAGGATCATTGATTTGATGGAATATTTATTTATGCATGTTAAACATTCATTCCATCCAATGAGGATCGTTGTTCTTGGTAGATGGAATTTGCACTTCTTGAGAAGAACTTCAAATATGACGTCAATAGACAATTGGAAGCTCTGCGCCTCACTGGTGCCCCATGCGTGCAAACATGTGCAGCTTGCGCGTGAACGTAGCTTTGGCAAGCTTGTCATTGCACGCACTTTCCCACACAAGCAGGTACATGGCGGTGGCCGGATGTCGGTGTCTGAAAACTGTCGGGTTGATGCTGCTACTCGCATACTACGTAATTACAGGGTACAAAAACCTAAAAGCTTCTTGGAGGTGAACATCCTAAGGCAGGCCCAGCAAATCCAAACATGTGGTATGATATGCGAGTAGCAGCGTCAACATGACAGTTTGCTACTGTTTTCCTCCCTGTGCACAAGAAAAAATCACCCGAATAGCGCTTAAGAATACCTTGTATATGCGTTCTCTAAAAAAAAAAAGAAAAAGGTCAAACTAAAGGGTATTATTTTCATCGCCACACTTGTGAAAGCTATAATTCCCAGTGCATCTGCAATATATCTGACAAAAAAAAAAGAAAGGTTAAGTTTTTATTGCAGAACTTTCAACGCAACTGAAAAGAACCGAGTCATGCGAGGAGTCTGTTGCTGTGCACTAACACAAGATGAACTTTTATGCGAGTTACCTGAATATTCATTCCCAGATGGCACCAACGTATAGATAGAGTAATTCCTCTGAGAAGTAAATTATTAGCCTTTAATCGGATTGTGAGCTTGGTCCTCTCATTCCAATATAGAAACCTATGGAAACGAGGTCTTGTTGAAGATAAATGCAGAAACAAAATTACCTTCCACAATACGAAAACAGAAATTGGGTTAGTGCCTTTTTTTTTTTTCAGGAATGATTATGAATGACGGTTTGAAAAAAGAGGCATTTTTAAGCAAATCAAGGTTGCTTGAAAAACCTCTAGCCTCCAAACTGGGAAATTCGCCAAAAAGTTGCAAAATCGAGTTTTTTTATTATCTTTTAACGAAACCATCTCCAAGTCAATTCGTCCGGTAGTTGCTGAGCAATAGGACCACAAAATTGACATGGGAAATACATTGGGCCAGGAGTGCTGCTACATCCTCGTAGAGCTAAGAAATAATGATGCTGCACTATTCAATTCGAAGCAGCGTTCACCGAGCCTTCTTTTCTTCCTTCCCTCGGCAGGCAAACTTCGGAGATGGAGCGATGCGTGCAGCAGGTGGGGCTGACCCTGACGGACCGCGACATTAACGACATTGCCGCCCGACACTTCGAGGAAACGCAGGCAAGCGTCTAGGTCTTGCACCAAGCGCTTTCATACACTTACACTTGCAACTCCGAAAGAGCGACTCCCATTTGGCGACAGACCTGTGCCCGTGTTTTAAAATGGGGCCAGTTTAGAACTCAAATGAAGGAGTATATCCGATGGGGGACCAAACCTGGGACCGAGTGATTCCCAGCCAGAGAATGACTAAGCTAAGCAGAGCAGGTGCTTGGGGACAGCTAACAATGGTCATTACACAGTAGACTCGCGATAATTCAGACTCGGATATTTTATACTTCTAGTTAATTCAAACAGATTTCAAAATTTTGGTTGTCCCACAATGTTTTTAATGTATTCATAAGCCGCTTAATTCAAACGGCGTTTTCGTGTAACTCATACTGTTTGTTGTCGCAGCGCCATGGAGTGTGCTTCTTTCCGAGCACCGGTGCACTGCAGAGAAGCAGCACCTGCGGAGCTTGCTTCTGCGGTCGTTGCTTCCCCACAGTGCATCAGTAGGGTGCACTAGAATGGGGAGGTGTGCCGTGAGTGTGTCGCGATGCGCTAGCATGGCAGTGAGGGCACCGTGGGGCAGAGCGCGGCCATCCGACGGCTGGCAGTGGCCTGGTGGTCGCAGCAGAGGTGCTTTATTCAACGTGAAAATGGTTGTATTCTTCGTTAGTTTCTGTCTGTTCGGTTGTGAGAAAGAATTAGTTCCATCCTATCTCACTGTCACCGCCCGTTGGCAGAAGAGGAAGTTTGTTTGTTTTGTTTAGTCAAAGTGTATTCTGTAGTACTTGTTTTTTTTTTTTATAATGCCCTGTAAGTGCAGGGGCACCAGGCCCAGTCAAGCTACCTCATGGAAGCTTTTTGTCTGGTGCCCTCAGCACAATATTGCTGAAAATAAATATTACTTACTTACTTACTTACTTACTTACTTACAAAGACCATGAGAGTTTCGGGAATGAGAAATACGTTATGTTATTTAAGCGAGCGGAAGAACTATAATGAGAAAGAAAGATAAAAGTAAACCGTCAGAAAAGAAAGAGAGAATCACCAAAAAAAAAAGAGTACAATAAAGAAATCTCTACACGCGTCTCAACACTAATCAAAGTTCCGTCAAGTCATAGACACATCAGGTGAATCTCGCTCACGAGTCCTCCGTGGCCTGTCCTCGTGAAGGCGGTTGTCTTCGCCTCGATGGTTGGAGGTCATAGCGCAGACTTGGCCGGGAGCTGTGCATGGCAGTCCCAGATGTCGGAGTCCGGCGAAGGTTCCGTCGACCAGACCGCTAGACTCAGCGTTCCGCTGACCGTAGCAGCTCTTGAGCGATCTGCAGGCCGACCGTCGCGGTCCGTGCTTCGCTTCCAATTCCCTGCTCGGTCGCGCGCTCCCCACCTCGTTCTCTTCCAAATCTTCTTCGTCTTCGGTCGCGGCCGCGGCGCAATCATTGTCATGAGGATCGTGACACTCACAACCCTGGGAATAAGCGTATCTTGTGCGATCGGCAGAAGCTTGCATACAAATCGCAAATGCCGTTTAGGAATGGTCAGTTACCCCGTGCTTTTTTATTTTTTTTATTTTTTTTTCGTTTTGCTGTTATAGAAGAATAATTGTCCAGTACGCTGAGGCAAGCCTTTGCTGCGAGCTCGTGCTTTTTCTATGGGACCTCCTTTCTTTTCTTTTAGACTTGCATAGGCAGTCAAAGTGCTGATTTTGAGCAAACCTTTGTGCAGTCGCCCTTTAAGCGGAGTTCTCACACCGATGTTGCAGAGGCTGATGGACCAATGGGACAAGCGCATTGGCAGCCTCAAGCAGACCCAGCGGAAGGAATTTTGGGAGTGGGTGCGCACCGTTCACGAGGACTACACCACCTCAAAGGGCGATCGGGGCTTTGGGTGAGCACTCCATTCATTTATTCAGTCACTTATTAAACCTAATACAGTGGAATGCCTTTATAACGAAGTCTGCGGGACTAGCAAAATCCTTCATAGTTCAGGTAACTTCGTTGTAGTACAGTATAGACCACTTACAACAGAACCACTTATAGTGCAGAACCGAGCATAATGCGGCTTTTTTCAACCCCCGGTTCGCCTCCCATAGAACTCCATGTAATTACATACCGCTTAAAATGCAGGCGCGCGAAGGGAAATACCGGTTATAGTGCGGTTTCTGGAACAGCCCGCCGACCGACCGGCGCAGCGAGCAAGCTTCCCTTTGGACACTAGATAACGACGGTGCTAGCCACAAGCGGCACTCGCAGGGGCAATAATGGCAAGGAGGTTGCTCGAAGAAGCGAGGAGAAGCAAAGAGAGAGGCTTCAGTTGCCATAGTGACGGAGGGACGCACGCACGTGTCTGTCACGACGCAAGGAGATGGAGTGAGCCCAACTTTCCCCCGCTGCGCTGGAAACAACCGCAACGACAGACCAGTTACAGGTCGAGGGGAACCGGTCGCGCGCGTTGCATGCCGGTCGAGGCCCGGCTTCTATCTGCAAACATGGCGTCGGTGGTGATGGTTAGCGTGGACGGCGTAGTGGTAGCTCATCGTTCCGCATAAAAGCGCTATCCTTGACTATGAATTTTCGTTGTGTGTCGCTATGATAACCCAGCACGTACTAGAAGAGAAGATCCACCTACTCGTGCGGCGATCTCGTGGCGGCATTCTCAAGACAGCAGAAACGCCCGTGCCGTCGTGTTTGTTTACTTCGACTACAGTGGTGCTTTCTAAGCAGTTGTGTTTTCGAACATCGCCCGGATTTCTTATTTGGAGCATTTCATGCATGTGCTCAAGTTCAAGGTATTAGTGGCGCCTACCGTATAAAGGATGCGAATTTTCACGCGTTTTCATCACCGGAGAAATGTGATTAGGGTTAGCAATCCTGAACGCTCGCAACGTCTGTCCGCAACGCCGTTAAAAGGCTGTGCGAGGCAAAAGTCACTAATTTCTTTCAAAATGTGTGACACACTTGAGAGAGAAGTGTACTAGTCTGGTGAAATAAGGACTTTCCTTAGACTAAGCTTTATTTTTCATCTAACATTAAATAGTTTTACAGAAGTAAGTTGTCTCATGGCACGTATTTTGGCCTGAAAAATTTATGTTTTGGTTTTAGTGTGGTACCGCTTATAGTGCAGATTTTCGCGACTCCCGTGACATACGTTATATGCGGTCTACACTGTAGTTGAGCGCAAAAAATCGATCATGTGAAGCCGAATTTGTGCTATCATATATTGACGTATCCGCTCGACATGTGAGGTATTTTAGGAAACGGTATAGCACCAAATAAAGTATAGACCGACACACTGTTTACAAACAAGCCCGCGTTTGCCCACACCAGGTGTGGGCACTGCGCGTGCGCACAAACCGAATTCGTGTAAAGCGAAGCGTCTGCGCATGCGCAGTGCTGTCGACAGCGCCACCGCAGCTGCGTGACGTCAGGGCCGCGTGTGGGTCTATAAGCGTCATCAGAAACAAGGTTTTGTACATTGACAATTGACTTGTCAAAAGGGGGAACGGAGACTGCTAGTGCATCGTAGCTGTGAGCACGTAAGGTTTGTGCCGCAGAATCCAGGCATCTTGAGCTTGATTACTACTTCTTTCTTTCGGAACGAAAATTGTTGAGCACGCGTTTGTGTACTCACCACTGCGTGACACAATTTAAAGATTCCAGGCTAGCAGTCATACTGCCTGTATTGACAGTGGCAAAATTTGTCATCTACAGCCGAGACATTGGGTGCTCCTTGCTGCACACTAATTTCCCGCTATCCAAACTTCCACACAACAAACTTAACTGATTTACCATATATGAATCACAACAATCACTAAACCACCGTCATCGACCCCCAATCGTGCAGCGAAGATGCGTTTGCCGACTGTGTAAGTTTAACCTTTTTTAAATCGGACTGCAGCTTGCGCAGTCACGTGTCGTTCGGAGGAGGCTCTCGAAGCGGCTGCGTTGCTCTCGTGGGAGTGAGTGTGGCAGCCGTGGCAGCACTAGCATCACTAGCGTAGCTACACTAGGCCATAGCAGTATGGAAAAATTGGTCATTCACTTGCCATGTGATCGTAGAGTGTGCATGCGACAGCTGCAGCGCGAGGCACAGCAAGGAGCGAAGATGGGGAGAGGCGCACAGCGGAGCCAACTGAGCGCTTTTTAACATCTGTCCGGCACAAAGAAGGGGGCGCATTTTTCTGTGTGGCTCTACTGATTTTGCTTAGATTTTGGCATCATGGGTACATTCGCAGATCACATTCTCTCGACCGCAAAGCGGAACAATTTGAGACTCAGATTGAGCAGGATTGGGAATTTTGGATCCTGACGAAAATTGGTGCGTCAGTCGAACAAATGTCAAGACAGCGTGAAAAAGTTGCGATGGCCCATGAAAATACTTTTTTTAATGCAGCAGTCTGCCAGTTTGTCAGCGCCGGGGATGGAGGGAGATATAGGGGGAGGGTGTGACACATGTGACGCCCCCATTGACTTGAAGCAATGGCGTCAACACACATCATCCTCTCTGTCTCCCTCTCTTCCTGGCACTGACAAACTGACAGACACCGCCTAGTTTTTGTCAAAAGGAGCATTTTCGTCAAAGCAGCATCGCACAGCTGGCACGGAGTCAGAGACGAGGAGGCGCTGCGGCGCGGTGGAATGCGGGCATGCTCAGTTGCCGCTCTGCGGTCGCCGGATGTTCTTTGCTCTGGGTTTCTGTACTAGCAGTAAATGGGCTGTGATTTGTGTTTGTAGTTAAAACGATGGATGCAGTTCCTTCCACGAGTGGTATGGATCGGGTTCTTATCACGAGTGATTGGACGACTGTATCCAAGGGCGTTGACACGCTCTGACAGGCAGAGTGCAGAAAAGGGGGCAAACGAAAACTATAGGAAGATCCATTGATGAATTTTTAGGGAATGCATCAGCACAACTCTTGGGAAATGCCACAGACATTTCCCTTTGGGAGACGCTAACACTGGCACCGTAACAAGGCCAAAGAGAGGCAGCAAAAAATAGATGAAGCAAAAGAGAAAGCCAGAACAGAAAAGTAAAGGGGTCAGCGTAGTTTACTATGCAACATAGTAAACCTATGCTCCGACCAATTGTTTTAGGGTGCTTAGAGCCCATAGAGTGACTTATGGCCATAAATAGACTATTGCAGAAAGTGGTGTAGTGCCCACTTTAAGGATGGTGGAGGGGGTGTACGCCGTGGTATGATGTGCATTCAGACCTTAAAATCGGTATGAAGCGTCACCCCATCTGGCTCGGCTTGTTCCCTCACTGGGGACGTCTCTTTTCAAGGGCTCGGATGCGGGCAGCCTCCCGGTCCTTGGCAGGTCACGAAGTGGACAACTGGACGCCGCCGCCTCCCCGCCCTTCGGAGAGCTTCACCATTCACCTCGGTGAGTGGAGAGCTTCACCAATCACCCCTAGCCTGCGTCTGTTAATTTTTTCGTTTTTTTTTTTAACTGTCGAAGATTTAAGTATTGTACACGACCAACTGCTCCACTCTGATCTGCGGCACGGTTGGTGGAGCGGTGAAGTGGCAGGAGTTCTTGGCCATTCACAGTGTGGCAGGGAACCATGTTACAGGAGGAAAAGCACTGTCGGAAAGCTCACGCACAGGGTGGTTTCAAGCAGACGACACATGAAGAAAATGCACGGTCTGAGTGTTTTCCCATGCTGAGTTCTTTTGTGCCCATTTTCTGCTTCAGTGGTGTGTTCAGCCTTGGAGGGGTTTTTTAGCCTTTGTGTCTGGGCTGCGTGAGCATTCTTTGTAAGGTAGAGTCCTTCTTTCATTTTTTCTTTTGTGTGCTTGCATGTGTGCATTGTGTATGTGCATGTGCGTTTGGGTTTCCTGGTGAGTAACACAAATGTGAAACCAAACTTGCTTATCTGTGTTTAATATGCCTGTTCCTTTTAATTAAAAAATAAGAACCAGAGACAACAAATAGGCATTGATGTGGTTATTGGACGGTCCTAAAACCCATTATGCGAGTCAGCTTACTGCAAGCAACAATGGGCATCACAGGGGGGGGAGGAACGCTCAGGGTCGACAGGCTGTGGCCAAAACATGTGAAACGAAACCTTGTGAGCTGTGGTGCAGTGCCACTAGTGGCGACGATTTCGGCCGCAAAATTGCAGCGTCAGAATGGAGGGCGGTTTCATGATGAAGCGCAGGCAGCCCTCACATTCTGATCTTGAACGCATTCTGATGATTTTTTGCACCTTGGGCAGAAGATGGCACTATTGTCACCCTGTATAGTAAAATTTTAGGAAGGATGCAAAGCTTTTGATGCATTTATTAATGTTGAAATGGCAAAATTTGTCAAGCCTACTTTTAGATTTAGCAGATAAAGGCACATCTTGCTAAATTTAAACGAGACACCAGGGTTGACATCACACCGTAGTTCCCGTAGCTGCCACTTGCGGCTGAAAATTTTGAAATAATCCCATTTTCTGCTTTGCTTATGTGCAGTGCAGTCTCTGTGCACTAATCCCTCATTATAATGAAATCACTTTTTTCGAATTATCGCTTTTATCGAAGTTTGACATGGTCTCGACCGAAAAGCACGCATTTTGAAGTGTATTGGCGGCCGACCACGCTTATTAGAAAGGCCACGGTGCTGAAAGCATGCAAGCCTACACGGAGGTGCAGGGAAACCCTCGCTTTCCCTCCCCCTTCTCTACCGAGGCAATCGGCATATTGAGAAAATGGCAAACAAGAAAAGGAGCAAACAGGGGACAAAGGGCAGAGCATGCAGAGCGCCGTTTCCAATGCCTATGCGCCGACGCTGGCAGGGCAGCGGGAGCAGCATCGGGTCAAAGGAGGGATAGAGCCGATGGAGCTTGGAGGAGATCATCCCTTCAAGAGCCCCCGACGTGCGCGCCTGCACGGGCGTGCTGCAAGTGTGCGTGCGGCGGGCGCAAGTGTGCGTACATACATGCACACTTGCGTCATATGGGAGAGTGGGAGTGTTTACTGAAAGTTAGATCTGCGAGGTTGAGACAAGTGGCCGGTTCAAGTCAGAAATCGCCAAAGAATTTGACATTCCGGCATCAGCTGTTTGACACTGTCCACCATTTTACGAAATGAACAAGGCAAGCTGAATGGGCTCGAGAAGATTTTCATGCGAGAGAAAGCGTGCCCGCGACTTGAAGAGGAAAAATCGCCAACTGCTTTGCCCACGTTGAATTCTCTCGCTATGCGAGCATGCTTGCCGAGCCGGTGCACGATTCCCAGAGCTGCAGCGATTGCTAAGGAGTATGTGAAAACATGTTGGCGAAGCCACCGAGGATAACTTCAATTCTTTGTGCTTGTGGATGAGGACGTTCCCGTTGCTCCTGCCACGGATGCTACTATGATAAACTTTGCGTGCGGCCAGAGTAGACACAGAGTAAGCACGAAGCGACGTCGGAGAGGCACCTCGGGAAACGCCGATGACTGCGGAGACTCGAAGCATCTTACGGCTGCTTTGAAACCAAGTGGAGTGCAGTGGCGGCGACATTGTTCTTGCAGTGCCAGGAGAAATTCAAGGAGAACTGACGCTTGGATGAAATTGTCGGCAAACTCCACATAATCATTTTTTTACTCGGTAAAGCTTTTGCTTGTTGTTCATAACCAAGGTTTGTGCTGGGTCCAGAGTCATGTTGGAATTGTAGGCAACGAAAAAGCGGACCAATTGCGACACCACAGAAATATATTACGATTTTGCGTTCTATAAACTCAGTTGTAAGTCGGCGCTACGTCCGTGTCACTTCTTTGTCTCGTCCTCGTCTTTTCGCGCTGTTTTTATTTCCCAATTATCTACTTCCACAAAGAATCTTACGGATACCTTAACTGGCATACCCTACCGGGATGTCAAGCCCCTCATTAGGAAAGCACTCTTAACCAGATTGCAGCTTGAATGGGGCCTACAAGCTGCATAACAAGCTGCGTGCAGTAAAACCAGTCTGGAAGTTGTGGGAAAATTCATCTCGTAAAAGTCGCTTCTACGAGGTTCTCCAGTTTAGCTTCAGAATTGGTTTCCTGACCCACGGACATCTCCCTTGTGGAGATGATGCTCCAGATTGTGATCACTCTGGTAAAGCGCTGAGAGTACTGCGTGTTCTATGGCTCTGTCCGGAACTCGAGCAGAGCACTTGTTTCCCAGGGTATTTTGCATATCAGATCCCGTTCCATCCTGCATTCCTGCTAGGCAAACATTCTAGAGTTCCGTTCGAGCAAGTCATTAACTTTTTAAAAAAAGGTGAGTTTTGGCACAAATTTTAAGTCTACTGTTCTCCACTTGTTAGGAACATTACCTTCATTGTACATTTGATCCTACTATAATCCTTAAGTCATCAACCTGAACAGCAAACTATGTTTGTTTGGTGCAGTGTGGCCCTCGTTGCTGTTGTGCCATCAAAGACCTAAACAGCAACCTTTTACAGCGGAGCTGTTAGGGGCTAGTTTCCCTAGGATCGTGTCCCCCGCAAAGAAATGTCGACACAAAACTCTGGACAGCTATCACCATCTATGAGCGACGGCGGCAACCAAACAATCGGCTTGCCGGCCTTCCTCGTAGATTGCAACAACCTTTTCAGCCTTCCCACTCTGGTTTTCACCAGAGTGGAAAGGCTGAATTTCCCTAGGTGTCGTCCTCGAGGTCGTCCTGGAAGTCGTCCTTGAGGTCGTCCCAGAAGTCTTCCTTGAGGTCGTCCTAGAAATTGTCTTCGAAATCATCCTAGCAGCCATCCTTGAGGTCGTCCTAGACATCATCCCTGAGGCCGTCCTAGATGTCGTCCCTGAGGTCGTCCTTGAAGTCGTCCCTGAGGTTGTCTTCTAGGCGTTGTTCTTAGATCGTCTTAGAAGTCTGTCTACAGGTCGTCCTGGACCTCGTCTTTGAGGTCGTCCTAGACGCCGTCCTAGTGGTCATCTGACCATGGTACAGCTTCGCTGGTCTCCCTTTTTCACCAGGGTGGAAAGGCTAAAAGTTTTATCTTAAAATTCAGTTGGGTGCCACATTTTGTTTCACTTATAGAGCAATTGCTCATTATGTTCCTCTGTTGTGTGTCCCCATTCATGAAACAGGCACCTTAATATTCGCCTCGCATGACATCGTTGCAGTCTAGAGCAGTTCGGCTAGATGTTTGTTTGTTCGAGAGGTTTGCACGCTGTTTGGATTTTACCGCCTTCCTTGTTGAGAAGAGTTCCTTACAGCAGTATGCTTATGGTTTGGCACCCCTGGTGTATAATAAGGTCGCCCTAGAAACGCTTTTAACTAGAGTGAAGGTTTTATGGTTTTTGCAAGATGAATTGTACATACTGTCTATAAGAAATGGTCATTTTCAACATTGTAAAAAGTTTTCTAGGCCCAATATTGAAAGAATGATGTGCAGAAAAGATATACACGGACCGGAAATGTTCCAGGAATACCCAACAGAGGGTGCCAGTCCGCCGTCGTTAGTGATCCCAAGGTTGCACAATGCACACTGTTGTAACCAAACACAAGTGTGTGAAACGGCCCTTCAAGAGACCAGTGATGTGATGGCTGTGCCAAAGTGCTTACCCCGCTACGTCCTGCTGCATTTCACGAAATGGGATCAATTGGCACCTACCTTGCACCAAAGCGTCATTTCCCTTTATTCTATCAAAAGTGTAATAGCTGAGGTCCCTCTACATGATGCCAGATCATTAGGATAGGCTCGGCCGAATTTTCGGAACTTTTGATCATCGCTTTAAATAACATACTACTCGATTTGATCTCTGCACAAACACGGTGGGTGCTTGGAAGTTGCACAATATTTCTCACGTTGGGGGTCTGTTTTGGTGTGTTAGGCGGCTTCGTTGAGTGCGCTTCTCACGGCGTACTGGTGCACTGCAGTGAAGCAAGAACCGCAGAGGTAGGCATTGCAACTTTGCGTATCTCACTTCTCTGCAGCACAGTCACGTGCTGAGGGTAGAGCACTCTTCTGGAAGCGGAACGTTGCACGTGCAAGCATCGGGTATACCAAAAAATAACAAAAAAAGAACTTGAATAAATAACAAAAAAAGAACTTGAATACTTAAAATAGAAATAATAAAAACACGGAGGACTTTCCCAAGCAACCACAGCACTTACCAAGTTCAAGAACTTGGTAAATGCCGATGTACCAATTCTACCTTGCGGTGAAAGGCTCCGAGTAAGACTGTGGCTAGTATATGAGATATATGAAGGATGGACAATAGATAAAGAATGAATGCAATTTTTTGACAACTTTCTTTTTTTAAACTTGTGATTTAGCAAAGATACTTGTCTATTGTGGGAAGATTTATATGGATGACTCTATAAGCTCGTATAGTTATGTTGAGTCTCTCGTTTAATTATCACATTTACATAGGTTCCATCTGTGTGGCGGCACCGTGAACGGAGTAAACATTACACTAAATTAGCTGGACCAAACAATGAATTGAAGACTTAGGAATACCCTAATGAGTTTGACTGAATTATTTCTAAACTTCATTGTTTGCGTGCCAGGCTTTGTAATCATGGTGCTCTTTTTATAAAATGTCATTGATCTTAATAATTGAATGACAAAAGTTTTGTTTTAATCTGAATTAAGAATTGCGATTTTATTACGACCTTTAGAACTTCAACGGGAGATCAATTTGGGTGCTCAATATCATTCCGTTGTAACATTACCGTAGAAACCCACATATAATACAAACCTGCTTATAATACGAGGCATGATTTAAGGACCGCGAAAAAGGAGAAAAGAAAGTTTTATTCACGTATAACACGAAACGATTTAAGGAACACGAAAATTTTCTGCGTAAAATACGACCCAGGACGTCTTAAGAAGAACACTTATTTGCGTCGTAATTGAACCTTATTTACTGTCGTCACTTCCATCAGACTCCTTCCGACGCCTCCTTCCAAAGGCAGTCGTCTTCAGTGCCGTCGAGCGCGTTTGAAATCCCGCGCTTCTTGAAAGAGCAAGCGACGAGCGTGCGCCGACGCAGTGAAAACCAGAAAGCGAGCAACCCAATGTCGGCTTGCCAAAGTTCTCTCGCCTTCTCTTGCAGCAGCTCGATGTTTACGGCGAGGTGCCGTTCACGTTGCTCTTGTACAAAGTCGCTAAGACTTGCCTCGACGTCGGGGAACGCGCCATTCTTTGGGCTCCTAAAGCTTCTTCTCGTTCCGTTGCATGCCAACGGAGCTTGCTTTTGTCGTCTCCATCCGCAGATGCTGTCTTTATTTACGGCGAATTGTCGTCCGGCAGCACTGTTGCCGATGTCTTCCGCAACTAAAATCACTTTTTTGAAGGCGGCCAAGTTTTCTTTACGCGCCAACGCCATTGCCTAACCTGACTGCGGACGGATGGTGGCGCCTCAGACATTGCTATTTTTATTATGATGATAGCTGTTTTGAATGCCATATTGCTTCGAAACCGAAACTACGTCAAACTGCATTAGATCGCACCTCATCGAAGCTCAAAATTGTCGGAATCCGCGTATAATATGAGCCGCAAATTTTACATGGCAAAATTTAAAAAAGACCTCGTATTATATGCATGTTTTTACGATATTTCGGTGGAAAATAACATGGTTTGCCTTTGGCTCCATACCTAAAATAGCCATTCACAAATGTTCATACTGGTCCTCATTGCTGAGCATATTGTTGTCATGCCTGGCACATCCACACACAAGTAAACAGCTAGTTCTTTGTTTGGGGCATTTCGGAGAAACAAACCTGTTGCGCAGTTAATGCTAAGAAAAGGTTGCACAGAAATGGGAAGGTTAAGTATACATTGTCTTTTGATGGATGGGCCAACATATGAATTTTAACATATACTATTTGCAGCAGTAGGAATGAAAGTGAAGTGTATGTGTATGTTCTAAAAGGTGCTCCAAAACGGCCCGGACCAATCGCATCACTGTATGACAGAAAAGCAGGTAGCGAGGAACAAGATGACCCTTCTTCATATGTGATAGTTTTGTCAGAGTGTGTTCCGATGTGGTGCTATACACCAACATGTTGTTTTGTTTACAAACAAGTCCACATTTTCCCACACCAGGTGTGGGCACTGCACGTGAGCGGAGGTGAAACGTCCGCGTACGAGCAGTGCCGACACCAGTTGGTGTACTAGCAGTTTCGGTGATGCCAGCTCACGGGTGCCTTTCTGTCGTTCAAGCAGACTACAGACTACGTTAGTTTGCATGTGCCTCAATTGATAACTGTTGATTTATTCTAAATACTTCGCATATGACGTTTTTGTTTCCTTTTTATCTAGTGAATTACAGTGTCTCCGAAATGCTTGTTATAAATATAATCTTTAAAATGTAAAAAAAAGCCTGGAGTTTGTTATGACAACTCACGCGGTGTGCATCACAGTGTCTGATTCTTAATTTGTTGAGTTTTTGGATTCTCCTGTGGAAAACTTTGCTTTGCAGTCACCAGAGTGTAGAATGTGCGGCCATTTTATTTGTGCACATGCTTGCTGTTGCGATGCTCGATGCCCCACGCTTGCTTTGGTTAATGAAGCTTTGTGGTATGGACGCTTTCATATGAAGTGGCAGTTGCTGGGGAGCATTCGTACAGCACTGTTCAAACCAATTCTAAGTGAGAGTTCTTTGCAATGTCGCTTTTACTCTACCGCATCGGACATGTTGCAGAAGAGTTTGCCACATTTTGACTTTTGGTCAAAGGAAAAGCTGAAATTCTAAACTTCATAAATTGTCATGCTTGGCCCTATAAATTAAGGCAATTGATTCATTTGTTTTCACTAATATTTGCTAAAGATTGGTCCTAAATTTAAAAGCTCTCGCTGAGAAGCCCACTACACTTTTTCCACATTTTTTGGATTCTGCAAAAACAAATTCAGTCGTATTCTTCAGCGGGTGTATACATCATTTTAGGGATGTTGAAGTGTCGCCGACTTTCTAGACCTTACAGGTCTCGATCTCAGAGATGGTCTCGCATGTTTTGCTGCAGTCAGGCGAATAAGTAAACATTTATAGTTGAAGCAATTTCAGGAGCCAGCCACCACCTCCTCCGGCTAGTTGTTTTGGGGAATCATTTTGTTTACTGGTTTGCAAAACGCAAAAAGGAAACGACTGGCAAGTAATGAGGGACCAGCACCACAGAACACAATAAAGCCAACAAGATACACGAAGTCGCTTTTATTTATGCATTTACTATGCACATGAGAGTTTCTCAAGTTTCGATTGCCCATTTTAAACTTTACTAGCCATCTCTTTCTCTATCTCCTCTCGTTCAGATAATAGAAATTTCACTGTGGTAGGTGCCATACAGGGGTAAAGTGCTAAATTTTTCATTTTAGTTATCCAACACTTTGGTACTGGGGTAACTATGGTACACATCCATCTCGGTTCTTCTACCATTCAGCGCATTAAACGTTTGCTTAGCCCGACAGTATGTGATATCATGTTTTATTATGCTAAAAAGCACGATAAAATGTCATGCCACAAATCATACGGCACCAAATCAACTCAGTGTGCGATTTTTTGGCAGTGTATGCATTTATTTTCCTGCTTCGCTACATCTGAGGCCAGCAGCCCCTCTTTGTCCAACCTTCGGCAAGCCGTACAAAGCAGATCATCTATCACCGGGGAAAAAGGTTTTTCTCGTTAACTCTGTTGAGAGGCAGAGTCATCTGGTTGGGTGAAAAAGAGAATCAAAAAAGAAGAGGCGAGAGCCTCATAACAGCATATTTTTCCGATCCCTATTTTGAGGTTTATGAATGTAAACTGTTTATTCTGAGCAGTCATTTTCCAAAGTGAGAAAATCTTTTTGTGATGCTTTTGAAACGTCGTTGACAGTGGAAAGGGTTGGCTATTTTTGGGCTGTTCTAACAGAAAGAGGACTCTTTGGCCGTGTGTTTGAGCGAAGTGTCTGTCCTCTGCAGGGTCACAGCTGAAGGTGATGCACAACCTCCGTCTGCTGTCTGCCAACGTGCTCGACCTATGCCGCCACACGACTTACGGCATGGGGTGGGTGCCAGGTTTTTTTGTTTCTTCCTGCATGCCAAACGCAAAATTCGGTCTCAGTAACGCTGTCTGCATGCCTTCAACCCACGACATATTTCTCGTATATTGTACTTTTCGAGACATGGTGGTATGCAGGGGTGGCTCGACCTCGCATCCCGCGTTCACTCTTTTGAGCGGCCATGTTCGGCCCTTGTTTATTCGTAACTGTAACTAACTTGTTTTCAGAGTCGTGAAATGCCGAGTTTATTTGTAATTTCTAGATCTCGGTGTTTGCCATGAAGCACAGGTTGAACGACATGCCGTAGATTCACCTTTCTGTAAATATAAAAGAGCACACCAAAACAAAAGTTGCCTAAACAAAAAATAAATAAATAAATGTAGGTGCCATGAGAAATTGACATTGCAAGATAAACCATTGTTTTCATTGTATGCTCATATGTGCTGCTACAGGTAAAAAGTTGGGAGGGGCAGGGAGAAAAATCAAACGGTAACGTGCCCGAGTATGTGTGGCACCCGAGGGTTTAATCAGACTTCATGTTACGTTCAACTCTCGGTATTTCAAAGTTGCTTCAATAGAACTTTCGGTTAATTTTAAAGCGTGGGTATGGTTCCATTAACGATGCATACGAGCTTATGGGAAAAAAATGTGCTGTAATTCTAAGTTTAATCCGGTGTCTGTTTAATTCTAAGGATTTCTTTTGTGTGCTTCAGAACCTTGGTAATTCCAAGAACATGAAAATGATGCTGAACAACTTCGACCTTTCTCTGAATCGTGTAGCTATTCCTCAAGGTAGATGCTGGAACCGAGCGCGGGTAAACAGTTGCAGGGCAGGCAGAAGAATGACTGTCTCCTGGGGTAGAGTTTGTTTGCTCGAGCCGTTTCTTCTTTTCCTTTGCACCCGGGTTTCTCGAATGCTTCGCTTCTACTTTGCTCTTATATCACCAATCTAATCGAACAAGTATCTCCTCTTTTGTTTGAAATCGGGTCACTGGCGATGTTCGCAGATGGGTCTCCCAAGGTTTCTCTAAAGGGGCCGTCGGACGTGTACGCTGCGAGAGCTTCTTGGGCTTTTGGACATGTCGAAGCTATTGCCATTTTTAGGGGATAGGCGATGTTTGGGAATTCCACTAAAATAAATATTTCGCCCCAAAAGAGGTGGGTGGGCGATATTTCGGGCGTTCTCTCGGAACTTTAAGGTAGTTCACGCAAGATTTGCTTGTCGATGGAAGAAACAGTGCTTTTGGCTATGGAAATGTCTGGATAAAATACGGTAGAACCTCGTTAATTCGAAGTCGGTTGGACTGCGAAAAATTTGCGAATTAAGTGGATTTGCGAATTATCCAAAAACGAAAGAAAATGACAAAATATTGTGCGCGAAGACTTGAATCTTGAAGGAAACATTTTATTCAAAATGAGTAGTCAAAACAAGAGAACATCACCCAAAGTAGTTGGCGATATGGGACTGCTGCGTTCTGTAATTAGCGGCACCGACCATCATATTTTCAAGAAGGCTAACTAGGCGCATCATCTCAGAATCGCCGCCGTTACGTACGGAGGACATTCGGCGACTGTATAACTTCCCCTAGAGTGGGGGCCCAAGGCGGCTCATCATTGTCATCAATCTCTGCCGTCACACTCAGTGATTTCGCTCTCAAGGTCCATGTAGCAGGTTTAGTCATTCTCTTGTATGTTTAAGTAGTCTGTGAAACTTGTGCCGACCGACTCAACGTCACTGTCCTTAATGCGGGAGCAAAACTCCTCTCCCTCATTGTCAATCCCAGGGACAATACTGGCACTAGCACTGGCAGTATCCTCTTGCTCAATGGCTGGTCGCATGTAGGCGATTTGGTGAGCGACCAGACAAGCAGCAGCGACCTGCTTCGCTGTTGCTCGGTCAACAGCGAAGTGGGTCGCCGAGCAACAGCGAAGCGACCTGCTTTCATGTGGTTTGCCTCGTCGCTCGCGACGAGGAAAACTGCATGAAAGCGACGGGAGCGAGTGACCGGGGGGATGAGCGACGCGACAGGCAACAGTGAGAAATCTCCGTCACTTGACGCTGACTCTCGTTGAAGTCGCCGTTGCTCGTCTTGTCGCTCGCTACATCGATTACATGCGGTTCAGTTATGGCCCAACGGCCCAAACCACAGCGGCGTGGCGCCAAGAATACCGACCACTGACACCTATTACCCAACCCATGTGAGACGAGAGTGACTAAGCCTACCCAATGCCCGCCCTAGCCCCCCTCCCCCAAAAAACAAAGGGACTTTACATGGACCAGCAAACAGGAAACGAATCAGCGAAGACGCTTGCCGTCTTTGTTTTTTCTGTTGAATCTGGATGCCAACTGGCGCCACCTAGCAACTAAAAATTGAACGTGGAAGACCAAATCGGCAAATTAACCGAATAGGCACACGCGGAGGGCTCAGATTATCCGGTCATATTTTCATGAGAAGTCACGGGACCGTGGAAATTTTGCGAATTGTCCGGGATTCGGAATAAACCGAGATTGAATTATCGAGGTTCTACTGTAGCACAAAGCTAACAAGCACCTTAGTGCTTCTTTATTCGACGCATGAAAAAGGAATAAGCGAGGTTCCATGAGGAGCCGGACTTGTTTTATTGCGGTTCTTGAGGTGAATGTGCAATGTGTACTGTCAAGTGGATGAAACTCGAGTTGTGTTGCAGGGTTCCGGCGCCCCAGAGGCTCCAGATGGCCATGTCCCTGCACTCCAACAGCCTGTCTGGTCTGGTGCTGCTCGTGGACAATCGCATCAACTCCTACGTCGGCATCAAGAGAGGTCTTGCCCGTCGCTTCGTCTAACGCTCGTTATTCCTGGGGATTACCCTTTGGTACAATCGAGAAGATCAGCCGTTATTGAACCATTAATCGCCGTATTTTCTGGTCTATCCGCACTCGGGGTATGGTCTGCAGGAGCAAATTTCGGCCAAAAAGAATGTGGTTTTCCTTAAAAAGTCAGTGCGTAAAATATTCTTGTACGCAACACACTTTTGCCCACTTCGTAATACACAATGAAGGTCGTATCGTTTAGAAATCATCATTAACATAGCCCGTCATTCACAAAATGCGCAACGTTTGGTCATAATTGAGGATCTCAAAAAAAAAAATCCTCGTGTAGTCCATACCCATAGAGAGACCGCACTGCGTAAAGTTTTAACTTTTCAAAACACATTTTTTGGATAATACGGTATTTATCGACGCACTACTATTAACTGCATATTTACCGATTTGAGGAATCAAAAACACCTAATTTGCGCGAAAACAAAGATCTTCGTCTATGGTTGCCGCTCCTCGAGACCATAGAGTTATTACAATGTACGCTAGAGGTTCAACTGGCGCTAGTGTCTATGCGACTTCCGTGACGCAAATTGAAGCAGACAGCAACCAGTCTACTTTTCCAGTCTTCCCGTGTATTCCTATGGAAAAGCGCGCGTGCATTTTGTCTCTTCGCCGGAAAATAACACTGAACACTTTGGTTATTTGGGTCGTACCGAATAGTATGTACCTTGCGCAATCTGAATTAGGTGAGCAAAGACGGGAGCAGAAGGAGGGGGGGCAATCCCCGGGCACTAACATCTCCGGTCTCGAGAGAAAGAAGGCGACGAAATATCGGAAAAAGAAAGCAGACGAAGGGTTAGACGCGTTCGTTTTGCCGCGACAAGTTCAAGTTGCTCGACTGCTTGTCAGCTAGAAAATAACGAGGTACAGGCCTTACAGGTGATGTTTTGCTGCTTTTTATATTAAGGCGTCGCCAGTGACGGGGGCTTATCGGGACTGCCAACCGGGGCTGCCGATGACCGCATCTATGCCCCGCCGCTCCAATGCGGCCAAATGCATGGGACCTTTCACTCTTGATTATTACATTAACTCTATGGTCTAGACAGAAGAATTTCGTACCCCAACTAAGGGTTTCTGGACTGCACTTAGTGTCGGGTGAGGAACCTCTTTGCTATTGGCTAGGAGAAGAAAGTATTTTGAAATGGTAGTTATACATACAAAGACAGCTTCATGACTCTACGGCACTATTGTTGCTGCAATAAGATGCCGAATTCCTCCAACATGGTGCCAAGAAAAAAGAGGGCAGTCGAGCTGGTGGATGTTAATCATGATGTAGAATACCTGAGACTTTGGTAAAAGAGGGGAACTTGGTGGGAGAAAAATGACAGAGGAAGAAGAATGTTTCAAACTCAGCTACTGCGTTTATTTCCTCAAAGCCTTATATAGCCACAACCCATTCACCGACCACCGACGTCACAATGCCAACCTTTGTTATACATTTCAACCCGCACTGACCTTCACTTGACTCATAAACAGTGACCTCGCCAAGGCACTGATAGCAGACAACAATGTTGGTTTCGATTTCGAGTCTAACCAGAAGTGACATCAGGGGAAAGGACCCCATACTACTAATCGTGTGTTATTTGTGTATTCAGCCATGAATTAGCAACTATCCTTGTATTTGATCAATAATTAATGGTGTATTCAACTATTAATTAACTGCATATTTGGCCATTGGCAATTAACCGTAAAATTACTTTTTTTCCTGCCCCCATGGATAAACTATGCGTCGCAGAAAGCTCTAAGTCTGCACAAATATGACACCTTTTAACAGTGGTGATGGAGATGAAGGATTTAGCGCATTACGTTACCCAGATCAAAAGATAAAATGAAAGTGAAATTTCTCCGAGCCAATGTCCACCCAGACCTAATTTTCGTTGCACCAAGAAATAGAATTATGGGTGCCTGGGGCTAATATTTCGCTGGAAAAAAACTTGCAAGCGAGAGGGACGACATGTTGTTTTCTTTCTTGCCGAGTGGGAAGTTTGTACGGAAGTGTAAGCGGCCCCTTCTGGGCGAGAGATCAGAGACAGTCGCAGTCATTGCCGCTTCGTCGGGCTCGACCACTTAAAGTCAACGACGCTTGGTATCGGCACCGGTCGATAGATGGAGCGAGCCGCCCCCCGATTTCGAGTGTTTGGCCGTACTCATTCGTCAGCTCCGGAATGAGGCTCGGCGCATCTTGTGAGCATACTATTTCTTTGTTTTCTTTACGCGGTCCGGCTTTCGGATGACGACTGTCGGAAGCTGCCTGCCGACGCCGTAAGCACCTTGAATTTGTCGTTGAGTGGCACAGGGCCAGGGACACAAGGATGCGAGCAGAGCGCGGCAAGTCGTAAGCACCGACATCGGAGCTCCTGAGAGAAAGAATGAGAAAGGGAGCGACGGAAAAGCGGAGAAAGAAAGCGAACGAAAGGTTAGGTGTGTTCGTTTCGCCACAATGAGTTGAGTTGTTAGAGTGCTCGTCGACTCAGTTTTTTCTTTTGTACAATGCTTGACATTTTTGTTTTTGTGCAAGATAAAACGAGAAAATAACAACAAAAAACTTTCAGCCTTTCCATTTTGGTGAAGAAGTAGGAGTAGCGGAGCTGTAGGTTCTGTTCCCAGCGGTGGCTTTCCAGGCAAGCGATCTGCTCTTCTTTCGCAAGGGAATTTGAAGCGCTCGATGCAGTCGAACTTTGGCGATAGCGGCCTCGCAGCGGTGGCGAAACCATTCGCGCTGCTTCGCATTTCGCCGCTCATTCCGTTCCCGCTCTTCTTCCTCCGAAGAAATGTTGCCACGATTTATGAGCGACGGCGGCAAACAGACAGCCGGCAAACACAACACTCTGGACAGCTACCGCCATCTATGAGCGACGGCGGCAACTGGAGTTTTGTGTTTACATTTCTTTGCGGGTGACATGATCCTGGGGATCGTCTGCTGTAAAAAAACAAGATACAGAGACAGAGATTCAGACCTCGCATGTGATGTTTTCCTGCTTCTTTGTGTATATTTGAAGCATAGGCAACATTATGTGCCCACTGGGACCACCGATGTATGTGCCCATGCCCCGCCGTTTCGAATCGACCGAATAGCATGGGACCATTCCCTCTAGGTTCAAAGTCTGGGACTTTGTGTGTTGTGCTGTCCTTTCTGTTTTCCCCAGTCTCGGGGTTTTGTCTTAAATTATGTTAAACACGTAGGCATTTATTGACTGTTCGCGCGGCGTGCTCCGACCCAAAAAGCTGCGCGGATACTTCTTGACGGTCTTTTATCGGCGGCGAAGCGCTGCTTGCGTGGCCGATTTTAAGCTCGGCCACCTCGCAGTAGCAATCACAAAAGAGGATTTAATGTGCAGGCAACCTGGTCGAATGCTGCGATCATCCAGTTGCCTGCAAGGTTATTATATTCTATTCACAGGGCAGAGCGTAAACGTGATGCGGCAAACCGACTTATTCTCTCCTATATCATTGTATTTTGCATTTGATTAACATTGATCTTGTGCACATTTTTTAACATTAGCATACTTCAAATCTAAGCTATTTCGCTTTGAACATTGCGAGCTTGTAAGAAAATCTGCGCTTAAAATCAAACGAATACGGTAGAAGTGGGCTGGCATGAGGTGTCGAACAAACGAGCAAAGGACATTTTCCTATTCCTGAAACTTCAGAAAAATGCTTCATACTTCTGAACGGGGTAGTGTTCAGCTGCAACTTAATCATCTAACCATGGCCACTGGGGCTACCTTCCGGCAAATTCTGAGACTTGCGCAATGCACAGTTCACTGATGTGATGTGTGGACATTGATTTGCAATAGTACCTCCAAAAAAGTGGAATTGTTTTTTGGCGGAGGAGACGTGAAGCTGCCCTTGAAAGTAACATGAATGATGTCTTGTCCTTTGGCTCCAGAGTTTGCCGCCATTTGTCACGAATCGACGGAGCTCCACTTTGCGGACATCGACGATCAGCTCGAGACGGTTCGTGCCAAGGCACGCGAAGTGGCCGAGATCCGGACAGCCGCTAGCCTATCCGGCTCCGACGGAAGCTCGAGCCAATCCAGTCGGCGATCCAGTTTCTCGGGTCAGGACCATTCGGTAAGAGCTCGGATCTCAAATTTTATACTAATGTGGTTCATATTCCTACATACCCTATACTAAAAATTTTACTGGAGCCCCTCCAGGCTCCCAAGGAATCCCACCACACCAGGTGCATATTATTATTATGATTATTATTATTATCATTATTATTATAGGGCAGTGGTCTCAAGCTCATCATGGGCATATTATTATTATTATTATTTTTATATCGCAGTAGTCTCAAACTCATCTCGGGAAGCGGGCGTAGACAAGATTAAATACCCCAAGGGCTGGGACTCCAGGAAAGGGGGGGATTGCAAACGTGGCCCATAAAGCACGTGACCTCGATCGAGTAATAGAAATGGTGACTGCCAGCTACACTGGCGGTCGCCATTTCTTGGGCACGATCCTGGACTCCCTGGTTGAATTCACCAGGGAATCAGGCTCATAAATTCATCTAAAAGCACCATAGTCATCCACACCCCCTCCCTATAACCCCCCACCTCCTCGTCTCGGAGAACACCACTCGTTGACAGGAATCCAAACTATCATATCTGAAGGAGACTTGCGTCCCCCAGGGCGGCAGCGCAGGCGGTGGTGCCAGCCCAACCCTGCAGCCGGGCGACTTTTATGTGACACGGCACTCGAACCTGTCCGAGGCCCACGTGGTGTTCCACGTGGTCGGGGACGAGTCCCTGCGGGGCGCCGACGTCGGCTCCCGGCACCCCGTGATCCTGGGTCTGCGCAACGTGCTCAGGGTGGCCCACGAGCGGGACGTCTGCGGCGTCACCCTGCCCCTCCTCCTCTCCCATGAGCTGTACGAGGTGCGTCCCTCTGCCTCTCCAATGCGAATACTACTCAATCCAATCTAATGCTATTCACATTCATCTCAATGAAATTCGATTTGATCGCATACTGTTCGTATCTGATTCAATTTGTTCAAATTAGACTCGGTTAAATCCAATCCACAGCATGTTTCTTTTTAAGCTTAACAGATTCGTTAAAATTTGTGTGGGTGAGTTGCATGGTCATGGGGACATAACATTGGGGCCTAATCATTGAGATGAATCGAATAACTAACTAAAATGTAATAATTAACTTTTACAGCAGAGCTGTTAAGGGCTAGTTTTCCCAGTCTCGTCTCCGTCACCAAATAAATGTCGACACAAAACTCTGGACAGCTACCGTCATCGGTGATGGCGGCAACCAGTTGTCTGGTTGCTGCCGTTGCTCATAGATAGCGGCAACCATTCCAGCCTTTCCACTCTGGTTTTCACTAGAGTGGAAAGGCTGAATTTCTCTAGGCGTCGTCCTCGAGGTCATTCTAGACGTTGTCCTTGAGGTCGTCCTAGATGTCGGCCTCAAGGTCATCCTAGAAGTCGTCCTTGAGGTCGTCCCTGAGGTCATCCCAGGCGTCGTTCTTGAGGTTGTCCCTGAAGTCATCCTAGGCATCGTAGTCCTAGGCATCGTCCCCGAGGTCGTCCTAAACATCGTCCTCGAGGTCAGCCTAGAAGTCGTCCCTGAGGTCGTCCTAGATGTCGTCCCTGATGTCGTCCTAGGCAGCTTCCTTGAGGTCGTCTTAGACCTCCCTGAGGTTGTCCTAAGCGTCGTCCTCTAGGTGGTGTCCTCGAGGTCAGCCTAGAAGTCCTTATGGTCATCCTAGATGTCATCCCTGAGGTCGTCCTAGATGTTGTCCCTGAGGGCGTCCTAGGTGTTGTCCCTGAGGTCGTCTAGGCGTCGTCCTCGAGGTCAGCCTAGAGGTCGTCCTTGATGTTGTTCTAGACGTCATCCTTGAGGTTGTCCTAGACGTCGCCCTCTAGGCGTTGTCCTTGAGGTCGTCCAAAAAGTCGTCCTTGAGGTCGCCCCACCATAGTACAGCTTTGCTGGTCTTCCTTCACCAGAGTGGAAAGGCTGCAAGTATTTTTAATTAGTGAAAAAAATCTGTGGTTCCAATTAGAAATTTGCTTAGCATCATTGGAAACCACTAAATCAGTAATTTCAAGAAAGACTGAGCATGTACGTAGCACAGTTTATTGCGCTAAAGTTACCACTCATGCAACAGGCACACGGCTGGGGCTATAATAAAAGACAGATAAACCGTGCAGGCACATTATCACAGTGGTAGCATTTTTCCTGCTGCACAAGTGGTAACTTTAGCACTCCACCATGCTTCTTATGTACTCCAAGTCTTTCTAAATATGGACTAATTCAGTGATTTTCGACACTTGGCAAGCTTGCTATTTGAACCATGTTAATTTTCAGTAATTAAAATGTTAATGAACATATTTTAATTAATTAGCCGACTGCTGCTTACGTATAACTCACCTGCACAAACTGCATAAGTGTTGCTTTCACATTGTCTTTTTTAAACGAGTCTGTTAAGCTTAAAAATAAACACCCTGTATATTTGAGTCAATTGATTACAGTTCTGAGGTAGGGTTGTAAAGTGGGTCAGTTGGTAACAGTCAAACATAATGAAATCAGCCGTTGTCCTGTCGTGTTCGTTTCCTTTTCGTCGTCCATGTTTACTGAGGCTGTATTTCATCATGTTTGATTACTGTTCACAATATATTCATTTGAATTCTATTCAGTTGAATCCATTTATATTCAATAAAATGCTACAGTCACTGTCCGATTTTTCGAACTCTGAGGAGACCCCGAAATTGTCAGAATAGTCAAGCGGTCCGAAAAATCGATTTCAGTTAAAAGAACAAATTTCCGCGCATATTCTGCTGCGTATTGTGCACTTTCCACTTGCTTGATGTCAATTTTAAGTTCTCGTCAATTTCCCCTTTATATAATTCACTTTTCAGATGTTTGTTGATCTGTTTGATCACGGTGCTGCGCTTTTTTGGCGCCTTTGTTGGCACAAACGGCGAAGTTGAGGTTGGCGCCATTTGGCACTATTTGTAGACAACGTTTAGTCCACCAAGCTTGCTTCGATACTAAGCCTATCGGCAAAAGGCCTTTGCACTCAAAGGCCACAACAGCAGACGGCCGTTCTTCTCGCTATCGCTCTCGAAAAACACAGACCACGAGAAGAACTGGAAGAGCCATGAGAATGGGCAGACGGCGGCCATGTTGGCTATAGCGGAACCGGAAAACCTGACTATAGCCTCAACCCAGCTTGTTTATTGCATAGGACATGGTATCAAGGCTACAGGGCAAAATCAAAACAACCAAAATGGCAGTGACTAAGCTTATGGCGCTATCGCGGCAGCTGTTGTGTGGCTATAGGCTAAAGAAATCACGCAAACTATGTCCGAAATATAGAGCAATAAGCTTTATGGTGTCCAAAATTTCGGTCAATACCGTATTTACTCGCACAATGAACGCACTCACGTAATGAACGCACCCCCGAGGTCAGCTCTCAAAATTTCGACTTTTTTTTTTTTTTCACTCGCGTAATAAACGCACCCCCAACTCGGATGTCAAAATTTTGACCCCCTCCCCCCACGCGCGCGAAATGAACGCACTTTTCTATCCTGGTGCAGGGAGGTCGCGAATGCATGGGCAGCGTTGGCGAACAAAACGCCTTGCAAAAGGCGTTAAAAAAATTCGAAAAGATACAACGGAAGCAAGAAAAAAGAACATGGAGAGGAGGTTTGTTTTTTTGCATGGCGCAGTCTGGACTTGGGGTTCGCGCGCCGCCGCGCGCAAGGAGGTACGAAAGAGAAGTGCTCTAAGCGAACGAATCAGCTTGCAAAAGGCGGCAAAAAGAAAAAACAAAAAAACAAAAAAAAAAAAAAACCACGGAACTAAGAGAAAAAAACAGAGGAGCTTTTTTTTTCTTCTTTTTTTTTTTTTGCTCAGCGCTGTGCGCGCCGCGCGCAAGGAAGTAAGAAAGAGGAGCGGAGAAGCCCTCTAAGCAAACGAAACAACTTGGAAAAAACTGCAAAAAAAAAAAAAAAAAAAAAAAAAAAAACTTAAGGAACTGGGAAAAGAAAAAGATGAGCTTTTTCTCTTTTTGCACAGCGCAGTTTGGTTACCTGGGGTCGCGCGCCGCGCGCAAGGAGATAAGAAAGATAAGCCGAGAGCCCTCGCCTAAGCAACGCCTAAGCAAACAAGACAGCTTGCGAAAGGCACCGCCTGAGCAAACAAAACAACTTGCGAAACGGCAAAAAAAAACAAAAAAACAACACCCAAAAAACTAAAAAAAAAAGTTATTTTTTTTTTTTTGCACAGCTTAGTTTGGTTACGTGGTCGGGCACGCAAAGAGATGAGAAGTTACTTCGATTTTTCAGGATAAAAGGTCCCTTCATTATGCTCATTATGGGAGTAAATAGGACGCAAAAATTCTACTTCGCCTAATGAACGCCCCCCCTAACTTTGCATCGATTTTTCGGAAAAAAAGTGTGTTCATTATGCGAGTAAATACAGTATTATACATTAACTGTATGGGGTGAGTGACGGTTCGGTGAAAACGTCAGAATAATCAACGTCAAAAAAATCGGTCGGCGACTGTATTCATATTTGATTCATTCAGATTTGATTCAATTAAATTCAGCTCATAATTGATTCAACCTAATACTATTTGTATTTAATTCAATAGTCAGACTCAATTAAATCCAATTCCTAACCAGTTCGATAGAGTACTGTTCGTATTCGACTCAATTGAGTTCAATTCAGTTGAATGGATTTATAATGACATAAATGAAGTGCTATTCATATTCAACTCGGTCGAGGACTGTTCATATTTAATTCCATAGAGTACTTTTCATATTCAATCATATTGAATTTCATTCAATTGAATTGACTCAACTTTTGATGTTCTGTGTTTTTCCCTTTCCCTTGCTTGGTGGGACTATGTTCTATTGAGTTAAATTCTATCATATTTAATGAATCCGAATTCTATTCATATTTGATTCTTCCGAATTCCATTCAGATTTGACAATCGAATACGAATTGAACCTGTAATTTTAATGTAGTACTTTTCAAACAATTTAAAGCTGAACCAAAATTTTCTGAGTGTCAGATTCAATTGCCAAATCGGATACCCAAGGGCCCATTGGTGGGTGCTTAAAGGGACACTGACACCCCACAAATTTTATTTTTAGTTGGGCGATTTATTATGGTGTTGGAAAACTATGCAATGAATATTTTGCTACAGCATCGCGCATATTATTAATAAAGTAAAAAACCGCAACTGCTTGAAACTGAAACTGGACTGGGGAGGAAGAAGAAATATAGAGGAGAGTGTTGCCGGAAGTCACGTGGCTGTGAAAATTTTTTTTCTTTATAAACGTTTTTGCAGTTTTTAAAAAGCCACAAAAAAATGGGTATTGTTTTTCTTTTTACCGTATTTTCCGGTGTATAAGACGCGGCTTTTTTCAAAAGTTCTTGCTGGTGCGTCTTATACAACAGTGCGTCTTATACGCAAATTTTTTTTTTTTTTTTTTGCGAGTTCAGAAATTTGAAATTTATTCGGTTGATGTTCAAGCTTGTTTCACCAAAAACAAAATATCGCTACCGATCACGCGGTCGTAACACGGTGATACTTCAATACGGGGACCACCGCGTGCCACGTTTTAGGTGAACTCCAAGATTGCAAACATGCGGTCGTTGCGGATGCGGAGGTCCCAGGCGTAAGTAATGTGAAATGCCAACAGATGGCGACAATCACGCTTCTCGCCAAGACAAGCCAGGACAAGCCGCCTCTCTTTTTCAGTCGCCATTTTCATCTTTGTTCGCTCTGCGTACGTGCGTCGTCGTGTTTTCCTGCCATCTGCCCGGTCTTGCTACAATATGCCACCACAGTCGCGCAAGAGCTACACAGCGAAGTTTAAATTATCTGCGGTCGAGTACGCTACCGAACACGGTAACCGGGCTGCAGGTCGCCGTTTCAACGTCACCGAGAAGATGATTCGCACATGGCGACAGTCGTCCACCAAACTACAGGCGATGAAAAGTGGAAAAAAGGCTGACCACGGAAAGAAGGCGCGGTGGCCTGAACTTGAAGACCGGCTCGTCAAGTGGGCTCTTGAACAGGGGGCTGAAGGTAGGGCACTGTCAACCGTGCAATTGCGCTTGAAAGCACGCACTTTGGCCAGTGGAATGGGTGCCGCTGATTTTGTTGGTGGGCCGTCATGGTGTTATAGATTTATGCGCCGCAAAGCCTTGTCAATCAGAGCGCGAACGACAATGTGTCAGAAACTCCCAGACGACTTCGGAGAAAAAGTGGAGAAGTTCCAAGAATTTGTAAAGAAGGAAGTCGAAAAGAGTAACATCATCGACAGCCACATTGTGAACATGGATGAAGTGCCCCTGACATTTGATATCCCTATGTCAAAAAGTGTCGCTCAGAAAGGTGCCAAGGCAGTCACAGTACGAACAACTGGGCACGAAAAGTCTCACTTTACAGTTGTACTAGCGTGCTGTGCTGACGGAACAAAGCTGCCGCCGATGTTGATTTTTAAAAGAAAAACGATGCCAAAAGAAAGCTTTCCGCCTGGTGTTGTCGTCAAAACTAACGAGAAGGGCTGGATGGATGAGCAAATGATGGGAGTCTGGCTCGAAACCTGCTTTTCGAAGCGCCCGGATGGATTTTTTCATGCCCGGAAGGGCCTTCTAGTCATGGATAGCATGCGGGCACACATGACAGACTTGACACTAAGGCAGATTAGAACTGCACCCCTACAATAATACCCGGCGGTATGACGAAGATTCTGCAGCCTTTAGACATATCCGTAAACCGCAGCTTTAAAGCTGTTTTGCGACGCATTTGGGAGGCGTGGATGACGGAAGGCGAGCACAGCTACACCGCAACTGGACGCATGAGGCGCGCTTCGTTTAGTGAAGTTGCAAAGTGGGTCCATGAGGCCTGGAGTGCAGTTTCAGCGGCAACCATAACTGCGGGCTTCCGCAAGGCTGGCCTACTAGCTTCAGCGCCACCTCAGCACGACGATGACGACAATGACCTGAGCGACTCTCAGTGTGAAGAGACTGTCGCAGCAGAGTTGCCGCCAGAAATTGCCGAACTTTTTGACAGCGCATCCGAAGATGAAGACTTCGCAGGTTTTGAGTAGAAATAAAATGTTATGGGCGTATGAGAGAGTTCTTTCGTCGTTATTTATTTATTTTTTTTTTGCAAAGGAGTGGGTGGTTGGGGCGTGTGGTGGCTTTTTCGATCACTTCACGCCGCATAAAGGCCCAACCACATGCCGCGTCGGCGTTTCCCGGTTAACGCCGAGGTCTGTCCTGTCCAGATATGCGCGTCGCTTTTTTTCGGATGGCCTTCGGGCGATGCGAGCAGGCGCCGGGAAACGCCGACTCGTCTCAGACGCGCCCGTGTGGTTGGGTCTTACGGACTTCTCACAGGTAAGGTGCATTTCGCAATGGTCGCGCAAGCATGCTTAATTAGTTTCGTTAGCCTATGTGGATAAATTCGGGTGCGTCTTATACACGGGTGCGTCTTATATACCAACTTTTTCAATGAAAGCCTGCATATAGGGTGGGTGCGTCTTATACAAAGGTGCGTCTTACACACCGGAAAATACGTAATATTAAGTGTGTACCTTTGATGACCCATGACTGATTATCTTTAGTAATTGTGTCTAAACCAGAGAAAACGGCATGTGACTACGGATAAGAGAGTGAGCGCGACTCAAACTAGCCAGTTTTGATCGGCGGTTTTTGGGCAGAAAGAAAAGCAATTTTGCGCCACAAATTGTGTTCTGGGTAGTTGGGCTTTCATATGTCATGTACAATCAAAGACCTAGGTGAACATAAATGCCCTGTCAGTGTCCCTTTAACTCTTTTCTTACCACGGGGAAAACTGTCTATTCTTGAAGGGTCCCAGTGTTATTTTTTTTTCTAAAAATACAATTGGTTCTAAAATTGTGGCAGTACATCAAAATGTAGTACAATAAGTACTCTTATTAATAAGTATAAAATGGGAGCCTAACAAATAATACACAATTTAATTTCAGAAAACCAAAAATCATTGTGGCCAAAATAACAAGAATTAGAAAGAGTGGAGTTATCTTGGCAAAAAATAACAGCTAAAAAGTTTGAAATATACAAAATATGACAAATTTTAATAAAAAAAAGGTTGCAAATTGCCATGCTCGAGATAGAAAAAAACTTACAAGTTCTACCACATAGTCTCAACCATTGTGGCATGCATATGCCATTCCCTGAAGTAGTTCCTGGATGTTGTAAAACGCAGGCAAGTGTAGCAGATACTGCAGAAGATATTTGTTGTTCGCTCACTTGCACACTTGTAATGCATCTTGCAGGTGTGCCACTTTTGCACTTCTTGGAGACACTTGCAATGCTATTATTGAGTATGTACAGTGCTCATCATATGTATGATGCGCCAGTCTTTCCTTCGAAGATGTAATGCATTTTGATCCTGTAGCCACCAGACATCACCTCTCTTTGCCTTCTTCTCCCACCAGAAATCCTTCAACTCGGATGAGAATCCCCCACCATCTTTTAGTGTAGACGGCATGTTCACGAGGCAGAGTGCTATCTCCTCCTGGTGCTATTTCCTCTATCTCTTCGGTTGCACTCGTGATAAATCGCCACCTTGTGGGAAAGAGACAAGCACCGTAAAATTACATAAGGGTGCCCACCCAATATGAAGAGGAAAATGGTCAAAAACATGGGGTGGTCTATCTTTGGGGATGAGACAACAAAACTTTATCAATAAATAACGATTTACAAGGGGCATCCTCTGCAAACCATGTGACGTGGGAACTGATACCGCAGATCGTGGACACGGCGAATTAGCGTTTCACAATGCGATGAACGCGTGGGAATTCGCTACAAACTCCCATGCACGGGAGAGGATACCGCAGACTGCAGATGCAGCGGATTTGTGTTTCACGGTGCTCTAGACACGCGGAAACCGGCTAAACTTGCGTTCTGCCAGAACCAATATTGTGCGTGCAGATTGCAGACAAAAATGTCGGAACCCACTGCGCACCCGCTTGTCACGCATACCGGTTCGGCAGATTGTATGGTTCATCTTATTCCCATCGAACATCATGCAATGTCCTATGGGAATCTGGGGTGGGCGATGTTTTGGAATTTTGAGGTTACAGATATTTAGCCAGAAAAACTGGATGGGCGATATCTAGGGGGAGGGGGCACCCTTACGGGATTTTATGGTATTTTCAGAAACTCAAACTTGGGTGTCTAATCTAAACACCAGATGCATTGACAACAAGCACACATCACCTGGACTTGCATGCAAGACCAGCAAACAATGTGAAGGTTCAGGGTTGAAGGTTGAGAGGGGACAGTTGAGGCGAGGGCTTCGTGGGGGTCCGCAGATGGGGTCCGCAGAACCCGATTTGAGAACCACTGATCTAGTGCAGCGTATCACGTGTGCTCGGTGACTAATTTTGAGGCTATAAATAGCTTAGCAAAGCGAAACACCGTGCAAATATAAAGTTTATAGTTCGCCAAAGACGCAACAAATAACAACACCCCTCACAGCATGAGCAGTCTCTCGTTAAGGTAGTGTAATTTGTGTCGTAGCATCAAATGGTTAAAGGCAGGTTTAAGGGAGGATTGCAGTTTTGTTCACTGTTGCTTTCCGGGTTCCCTCAGGAGATGACGATTCCGTGGTGCCTGCGGCGAGCTGAGCTGGTCTTCAAGTGCATCAAGGGATTCATGATCGAGATGGCCTCTCTGGTGGGCGAGGAGACGCGCACCGTCCAGTTTCTCGTGCCTCAGGTCAGTGTCCGGCATTGCATTGCGGCGCCCGGTACGCTCCTCCAACCGGTGCGTTCAGCATGGCCAGGGGCTCTGGTGCACCCCAGACCCCTGCTCCGAAAAAAATTCCCGCTGGTTTAGCGTCTCATTTGACCGAAACATTGAAAGCAACCGCAAAGTGGCAATGAATGACGTCGTAACAACCTGCGTGTTGTATTGTCGGACGTCACAATCCTGGCAGTTGGTGGTAGAAGTTGTAGCCAAAAGCATGAGTAGACTCAAGTTGCCAGTCCTGCCTGCCGAAGCTTCCACGAACTGTTAAGCTGGAGAGTGCCTTGCAGCAGGAGCAGCATATATTGCACGAGCCATTACTGCGATGCCGGCAGGCTCATGGCAGCATGATGCACAAGGCAGGAATGGAGGTGTTTGAACGGACCAGTGAGAGACGCGTTGCAGGCAGTATAGACTGTCTGAGGCGGGCTGTTTGGTTAACCTATGGCCGCTAAACGAGCTACGCTTGGAGTACCGGTACTCAATTCCCCAATTACCTCGCGAGTGTCGCCATTTTGGTGTGCGGAATGGGCGCAGTCGGCGACAGTTACGATTCGAAATTTAACTTCCTGAAGGTTTGGTGTCGAGAGACTTTGGCAACGTCATTTTGCTCTGTTATGGACCAAGATTTCTCAAGGGCGGAAAAGTGTTTCTCGAAATTTTAGATAAAGCTTCAGACAGCTGGCAAGAGTAATCTTAAGCAACCCCGTCAGCTGCGCTCAGACTGATCTGATGGGTTCTTGGAAGCTCCCCGGAGCTAAGTTGTTTTTTTTACAGCAGAGCTGTTAAGGGCTAGGTTCCCCAGGATCGTGTCCGGTACCGAAATCATGTCAACACAAACCTACGCAAACTTCTGGACAGCTACCGCCATCTATAAGCGACAACGGCAAGCACACAACCAGTCTGGTTGCCACCGTCGCTCGTGGATGGTGGCAACCTTTCCAGCTATCATAGAATAATGGATACTTGTGTGCGTTGGTGGGAATTCATCGTAGGAAACAGCGCAGAAAACAGACGAGGATGAAGAGGAAACACACGAGACGAGCGCAGCACTCGTCACGTGTGTTTCTTCGTCTTAGTCTGATTTGCACGCTGTTTCCTACACTCTTATCAGTTTTGGTTTAGACTCAGGATGGGTCGGCCGCGTGCCCTTTCGGAGAAAGAGGACTGGCTGCTGAAGGAGTGGCGACGTACGCAGCAGCGCGAATGGGTCCGCAATTGATGCGAAGCCGCTGTCGCCTCGACTTCCACTGCAACCACCGCTTCAGACTTCCTTTCAAAAGAAGAGCACATCGCTCACCTGGAAAGCCACCGCCGAGAGCAGACGTCACAACTTAAAAACCATGCAGAAAAAAATGGCTCAAATTCATGCTGTTCTAGGTTGCCTGGAGGTTTTCAAATGCGTATTTCACTAATTCCACGATTATAACCGGCACTAATTATTTTTATACATCAAATATAAAGATTACAATGGGAACTGCAATGATTAGCTTACACCTAATTTCCAGACATAGAATATTAAAAGTTACTCTTCAGAGTGTAATATAAATACAGTATAGACCACTTACAACGTAACCGCTTATAGTGCAGGACCAGGTATAACGCTGCTTTTTTAAACCACCGGTTCGCCTCCCATAGAACTCCATGTATTTACATACCGCTTAAAATGCAGGCGCACGAAGGGAAATACCGGTTATGGTGCGGTTTCTGGAGCAACGCGCCGACCGCGCCGACCGACCCGCGCAGCGAGCACGCTTCCCTGTGCGACACTAGATAACGGCGCTAGCCGCAAGCGGCACTCGCGGGGGCAAGGATGGCAAGGACATTGCTCGAGGAAGCGTGGGAGAAGCGAAGAAAGAGGCTTCAGTTGCCATAGCGACGGAGGGACGCACACACGTGTCGTTCACGGCGCAGGGCGTTGGAGCAAGCCCAACCAGCCGTTCGAACGTGTTGCGTGCCGGTCGCGAGCTGGCTTCTTCTATCCGCAAACATGGCGTCGGTGGTGATTGTCGACGTCGACGGCGTAGTGGAAGCTGATCGTTCTGCGTAAAAGCGCTATCCTTGACTGTGAATTTTCGTTGTGTGTCGCTATGATAACCCAGCACGTACTAGAAGGGAAGATCCGCCTACTCGTGCGGCGATGTCGTGGCGGCACTCTCAAGACAGCAGAAACGCCCGTGTCGTCGTGTTTGTTTACTTCGACTACAGTGGTGCTTTCTATGCATTTGTGTTTTCGAACATCGTCCGGATTTCTTATTTGGAGCATTTCATGCGCGCATCTCATGCCTTTTTTGGAGCATTTCATGCGCGTACCGTATAAAGGATGCAAATTTTCACGCGTTTTCATCACCGGAGAAAAGTGATTAGGGTTAACAATCCTGAACGTTCGCAACGTCCGTCCGCAACCTGCGACGCCGTTAAAAGGCTGCACCAGGCAAAAGTCGCTCATTTCTTTCAAAATGTGTGACACACTTGAGAGAGAAGTGTACTAGTCTGGTGAAATAAAGACTTCCCTCAAAGTACCGTAAGCTTTATTTTTCATCTAATATAAAATAAATTGTTTTACAAAGGTAAGTTTATCTCATGGCATGTACTTTGGCCTGAAAAATTGATGTTTTGGTTATAGCCCGGTACCGCTTATAGTGCGGATTTTCGCGACTCCCGCGACATACGTTATATGCGGTCTACACTGTACTGTCACATTCTTGCAAGTGCATATAGTTAATGTTGCCCACAAAAACAAAACAAAGTTATATTCAAGTTCCTTTTAATACGTCCCACGATTTCGGGGTGTGCAGTGATTTCTGACCAAACTGTTCAATTTCCAATGTGAAAAAGATGTTGGCACAGTTCCATCTTGATTCAGCATTGTGTTAATTGTAGATTTTGTGAGTCGCAACTCACAAAATCTGTTTGTTTATTTAGAATTTTGGAAAATTAGGATACAACAAAATTTAACTCAGACATGCAGAAAATTGGGAATTTAACGAGAAACAAACGAGAACACCTTCCGAATAGCACGAAAAATAAGCTTTGAAAAGTCGGAACCCTAGTTGCAACGTGCAGACTAAGTCAGTGTGAATCTGTTCCTTGTACGTAATGGGGGCGCTCCGCTGCAGGGAATCTCGGAGGACCTGTTTGCCAGCCTGTCAGCCATGCTCTCCTCCATCTTCCGGGTGTCCAACCCACTGGTGCTCAAGTAAAGCGCCTCCCTTCATTGGACAAAGCCAACGCAACTGTTGACGAATCACAGAAGAGGAAACATGGTGTACATTTTACAACGTCGCGACAAAGGGAAGTCCTGCAATGACCTGTCGCGAAGCAACGGGCCATTAGTTACAACGAAATCCTTACCTTAACATACTCAATCTAGGGAATGTCCAGCAATGGGAAAAGTGAGAAAATACCCAGAATTATAGGGAATATTTGGTCAGCATGGAAAAAACAGGGAGTGGTTGTGGAATTTGGCCACAGCTTCGTGGGAGTCGGGGAAATTTGTGAATGAATGTTGCTTTGTTTTTTTTTTTAATGCATGTTTATAAATTTGAATATAACTGTGTATTTTTTGGGAATAGTAATAATGATGTAGAAACCAGCAGAAGTATGAAACCTGAATCTTGTTTTTTGAGCTTTCTTGGCTTACCGGTCAGGCTAGTATCATCATTATTGATTGTTCCGCAAGTACATTCTTTCAAAAGTGGTCCGGAAATTTTAGATGTAGTGGCGGTAGGCCCTTTGAAGATGTTTATTGGCCATCTGCGAATCACGATGACTTGCAGATGGCCAACAGACTTATCGCAGTATTTATTTATGGAGGTGCTGATCACCATGATTGATGAATATTGGAACTTATGATAGGTATGTAGAACCTCTGTTATACATAACCTCCTCTAGAGCAGCAGTATTTTTAGAGACTTCATAGGACGGGTGTATTTCTCGAAAATTTTCTGCCCACCCATCTCCCGAATTTTCGTTTTAGAGAGGAGATAGTACCAAATGTTTTCTGATAGTAACAAACATATTTCTGGACAAAGAATAAACATAGTATTCAGTGCTTTCAGATGTATTTTTATCCTTATTTTCGTGGTTTTAGGAAATAATCTCAAAGATTTGCCCACCTGCCTCTTTTTTTCCCAATTGTCCTCCGTGAAAAGGTGGGCATTCAGGATATTACGGTATGCTAAATAGATAGGAATCTCTCATCAATTTGCCATTGTGTCTATGTTACACTTGGGCATACTGGAAACGACTGAACTTTTGTGATGACGTAATTTTCGTGAATTCCACGATTTTGAAGAATATGTTAAAAAGAATCAACCGATATTACCCTATGATTTTGAGTGTATAGCATAGCACCCACAATCGCAAAATTTTGTGCACATGAAATATTTGAGAAAACCACACTTCACAAAATACTGAGCCCACGTAAATAAGTCATTTACTGTATTTCAAATTCCAATATTGGAACTTTACCATGCCATGGTAAAGTTATTTTTCATTCAGTAAAACCATTGCTGCATTATTATCAGCATTACAAACTGTATCGTAACTCATCTTTACAATATTCATATCCTTCTTTGAGAATTTACTGTACTGGTGATTCTACTACAGTTCTTTGAGGCACATTCATTAATTGTGGTGGGGTGCCAATTCCAGTAGAAGAGCTGAGTCTCGAAACATTAATAAGAAGACTACAGGGGGCATTACCCGTCATAGCTACAGTTGCTTTATACAATTATATTTGTACTTTGTTGCACTTTGACGTACGTTGTCACCGTTTTCACTGGAACGCAGCTTGCATTACAAGTTGGGCTGTAGACTCTGAGATACCAAATAAAAATGTTGAAAAAATGTGCTTAATCTTACTTACGTAATCTTTTTAGGTGTCCCTAGACAGCCTGTGTACCTACCAATCGGTGCACCTGTTTGTCTGGCACATGCAATGTGGTATAATCTCAATGTTTGAAATAAATGGCTCGGGCCAGCTACACCTTACGTTATCGTTCCGAAAAATGTACAACTCGATTTGCCGTGTTTGTGTCGGACACTTGCCATACTTGGAAGTTCCGCAATATATTTTTCACGGTTTGTGGCATTGAATTCTGTTGAGCGCGCTTGTCACCACAAACCTGTGTGCTGCAGAGAAGTGACACCCTCGAGGTCGTCATTGTGATCCTACGCATCAGGCTTGAAGGGCAGCCATAATGTGATGTCGAGAGGCAGCAGTTTGGCAAAGAAAAAGGGCCACATCAGCTGAGGTAGCTTCGAAACGGGAGGAATCCCGGGAGGGGAAATGCAAAGACGAGTGCCACATTGTATGTGGCATTGTGTGCTTTCTGGTTTGGCTCCGTTGCTGTAAAAACATTGTTCACTTTTGCAAAATATTTATTAGCGATGCTGTTTATTCTGTTCTTTGCCCCCTAAGGGAAGGGATGGCATGCCATTAGTGCCCGTCACTGGAGCAGGAACATCATCTCTATCATCTGTCTCCATGGAGGGGCCTTTCGTCACTTGGTGATATCGTCGCTAGAATTTTGGGGCGGATTATAATTTTTACAGTGCATGGCTTGCGTGGTGTGAAATTTCGGTACCCATACGGTATTTCCCGGGCTATAGTCTCCAGGCTGTACATGTTTAAAAGTAGAGATTTTCGGCTGTGCAGACTATCTACACGTGCGGACTGTACAGGATTTTTGTTTTTTAATATTGTTAATTATGAAGAGATGAGGTGGATTTTGTGAATGAAACAATGTTATTGATGACCTATGAATAATACAAGCTTCTTTGTGAGCTAAGAAAGCAGACATTTGTCAAGGTGTGTCGACTATGCACCAGGTGCGGACTATACACCAAGTGCGGACTATCTAAGCAAAATTTTTTATTTTTGACCCCAAATTGGCCCCTGCAGACTATACACCGTGTGCGGACTATAGTCCGGAAAAGACGGTAGATCAAAGCGCTAGATCAATACTAGGAACAGCTCTGATTTCAATGTTGATGCAGTTCTGTATTGCTAATACATACCTGCCAACTCTCCCGCATTACTGTAAAACGTATGAATTTGGACTCGTTTTACAATTTTACGAATATCTCCTCAAAATTAAAAAATTTGGCTCATTTTTTTTATTACAAGAGGGGGAAAAGTGCTTTCCAGAGCAACGTCATGGTAGTTACCACAGTGCAATCGACTTACAACGTTAATGAGAAAACATGAAAATTTTATTGTTATAACTAGGGTGTGTATTTTCCGGTGTTTATTTGTGAGAAAAATCGGCGGATGTTTTTCGGTGTTTATTTAGTTTCAAAGCACCGGTGTATTTCGGTGGAACGTCTCGCGACGAGGCTAAAATCGGTGAATATCGGTAAGAAAAGCGATTGATCACAGACAGAGAGTTCCAATTTTATTCACATAGTTCATACACTTCTTCTCTAGGAAGCAACTATTTCTCACACTTGGTTATTATTGTAGACGAAAGCATACTTTCATGCTTGCATCTTCACGCAAGGAACGTGCTGCCGTCATGGTGCACGTTCCTTGCGGTTCGCAACCCGCAATTATGAAAACGCACACTCCTGTACGACACTGACGTTCGCAGTGTCTTCCAGGAACCACAGCAACCTCTGAATACATGGCTTGCACCGACATCATTTGGCCAGACACAATGAGGAAAAGGCACGAGAGAGCCTACCCTCCACTGTGTTAATTTTTCCACAAAAGGGCGCCATGGGAGACACAATAGGGGAAAGGCGTATGAGAGCTTAGCTTCCACTGCGTTCACTAGACACTTTTGACCCCCAGAAAGGAGGGTGGACTGATGCCACCTGCAAGCCATGTATAAACACTGGAAGAATGCAGGATCTACGAGATAACACGTTTGACGAACCTCTACGGGGTAAGGGTTTCGCTAGGTCGGGAACGTGCAACGACCGGTGTGTTTTGGTTTTAACCAGGGCGAAAATATCCAACCACCGGTGTTTTTCGGTTTTAACCGATTTTATATTTTCGTCACCGACGGATGTTTATCGGTGTTTTTCGGTTAAAACCGGAAAATGCACATTCTAGTTATAACTGATTACCGTTGTATCTAGACTAGAAACTGAGCGTTTCTAGTCTAGAAATTCTAGAAACTGATCGTTACAAGCAGTACATTGTTATATGTGGTATCATTATAAGTGGATTGCACTGCATCTGTCAACCCGATGGCCACAAAGATCCACGTCATTATCCAAATCCAAAACTCCCAAGGCGTCCAAGTGGTCCAAACGTGTCACCTTTGTTTGAAAGTCCGTCATTTGCAATGGCAGGCGATGCGAGGTGAGGCTAGATAAAATATAAAACTGTTTCTTTTTTAGTCCACTAGCTAAATTACAGACGACTATTAACCAAATGCTCATACCCGTAATGTATGTTTCCCTTTCTCTATACCTGAGAGGTGGTGTTTTCTACTTAATCTGAAAAAAAAAAAAAAATATTATTTTATTTTTTCTTTTTTTTTTTTGAATTCAAGGGGGTGTGTCCAGGAAAACTAGGGGGGTCTCAACCCCCCCTAGGGGGGGTCTAGGGAAATCCCTGCAACGAACAACGGTTTCTTTCCGCAGCGATGAGGGCACGGGGGAATGCGGATGAGGGGCTCCCCTAGGACTCCGAACGTGCTACGCCATCTGGCGGAGTACGGAAGAAATGCGAGCAAACCTACGCCAAGCTCGCTCTATGGCGAGGCGCCGCCGTTACGACACCTCTCTCTTCTTCCACCGTGGTGGAAAGGGTGCCACCCCCGTCTCCCCAGCGGACGCGCCGCGAATTCACCCCGAGCCTAGGTCGGGACGTGCTACCTGAAATCACCGCTGAGGCATGTTAGTATGAAAAATATATTATTGTGCCGCAAGATCTAGTAAACTAAAGATTTTAGAAAACATCACGCGCCCCCCATTTTGTACTAAACTCCAATAAAAGTTGCTACAAAAAAGTTTTTTCCGTTGGTTTTTACGTTTCTATTAACGTTGAAACGTACGTATCCCGATTCAGTTACCAAAGCAGCCGCCTGGCGGCGCGTTGTGGCGACGAAGGCACCGGAGAGGAGAAAAGTAAATGAAAGGGAGGAGAGCGCCGAAGGAGCGAGAGAGAAAGAAGGGAGCAGAGAGGAGACGACCGCCATTTTTTAGCAACGCTGTCGGAGAAGAGCACTGCTGAGGCTACGCGTCGTTTGCTACGGGCCAACTTCTTTTTCGTCTGAATAAAAGTTTGTGGCACTGGCAATACGGCGAAAAATCTTTATTTATTAGCTTTTTAACCCAGCGAGGAATAACAGAATGTCATTTTCTTGCCAGAGCCAGCGATTAGGGGTGTCGCGAACCGGCCGCGGTTCGAGTTCGACCAGGTTCGACTTTTTCGAACTTTTAGTGGAAAGTTCGACGAACCTTCTATTGAGGTTCGACTCGTGTGCGCATGCGCGACAGGCTGGCCAGTTGGCTTCGGATTGGAGGATAATGGCTAAGAGATTAATTAAGTGCAGCGCTGATTGGCTATTTCAGTTAATAGAGTACTAAAAATTAAGTTATTAACTTTTTCATTGATTAGAATTAGTTTCTTTTAATTGCAGTTGTTCACAATATAAAATAACCCTTTGCATAAAACAAATTTCCCAAACCTAGACATGCTTGTATTAAAGTCTGGCCACACTGTCCACAAAGTCGAACCGGTCGAATCTGGTGAAAAGTCGAAGGTTCGTCGAACCGGTTCAACCAAGTCGAACCCCGAAAGTTCGACCAAAAAATCTGGTTCGACAAAAGTTCGCGACACCCTACCAGCGATATAAAAGGCAATAATCGAGATTTAGATGCCGATCCCACGCATTCCGCCGGGAGAATGATCGAAGATGGCGGCCCTTCCCACTCAGGTGGGAGCAGCCGGGAGTTCACGCGCATGCGCTCATGCCACTCGCTCTACGCCGCGTGCTGATTGGCTCACTTGGGAGGAGAGCTTTACGTTCGGCGAGATCATAGACTGACCAACGCTGGGCTAAAGCACTGGATATAATGTATTCTGGGCGAGTCG